TTAAAACAATTTACAGTGAATTTATTGCCACATTTTATCATTGTCTCTGACGGGACATTTTCTGTCTCTGACGGGACATTTTCTGACAGATGTGAAACACAAGGTTTTACATCTTCAATTGAACCATTTTCAAGTGTTCTGGTGTGTTACATTTCTTGTTTTTCTTTTGCAACTGATCATTACTGGGTAATTCATTAACCATTACTGATTATTAGCTAGGTTGACTGTCAGTGATTAGGTGTTGACATGTGCCATCAGAGATCATGTCAGAGCACTAGAAATGTGAGAAGGTCATTCTGTTCACTGCATGTGCATGATTTAGAACAGTCTGAAGGAGACCTCCAGCTCCAACCATATGTTGTGGTATCTGATGGTCTGCACCATAACTAACAGTCTGTCTTCACTTGTAATAAGGCCATTCTCGAAGACCTCCAACACCAGCAATCATTCAGCAAAGTCCATTACTGGTCAGACGGAGCCGAGCCCCCAGTCAATTCAAAAGTTGGTTTTTACTGTCTAAACATGGTACTATCATGAAACAGATTTTGGTATGGAAGGGCAGTGGTACTTTTTATACCACTGCCCATGGCAAAGAACCAGTGGATGGGATCGTAGGTGAAATTAAACATCAGGTTTGGAGAGCAGTGCTCCAGAGAAAAATGGTTGTAGATACACCTTATCAATTCTATTTGGCTGGCAAAGAATTATGCCCCAATGTCAACATAATGTACCTGTCTGCAGCAGATATTGTAGCAGCTACCGCACCCATCAGCAGTCCTTGGGAAAACTGTCCATCTGTTTCAGCAATTCAACACTTCCAACAGCTTCAGCCCCAGCCCTAGCCCCGTGGACATGTTCTTGTGTCAACCAATTCTTTGTACCAGCAACCCTCTTAATATGCTAAACTTATTCATATGACTGGGGACTTTGATTTGCCTGCACATCCGCACTACGACAATGTCGATCAAGGCACAGCTCAGTCTCACCAGGGAGATTTTGTCATTGCGGAGTTTGCTGCCATGAAAGGAGTAAAACAATTCTTAGGTTAGGTCACCCATGACACTGAAGATGGCGAAGTGGAAGTCAGTTTCTTACGTTCTAAAGGTTCTGGCAAATGAAACTTTGTGTACCCTGCCACAGAAAACAAAGCATGGATTCCCATAAAAGATGCAAAGGAAGTCCTTCCAATGCCTAGCATAGACACTCGTGGACTTAACTTGTTTCCATCATCTGTTAATGTGACTGGTTGAAAAAATCTCTAGAGTGCAGAAAAGATGTGTTCTAAGACTAATTGAAAAACAGGATTTATCATGTGAACTATCATGGAAAATGTTGATTGATATTGAGAAATAGGAGTAATAGACAGTGGATTACATGAAAATTATACTGTGCCTTATCGCTGTGTCATGATAATTAATTAATATTCTAAACATATTGCATCTGGTGATTTTTCTAATGTATAGAAATGCTATTTTGCAATAACCATCAAGTAAGATTCATTAGATACAAAAATGTGGCTTTTTAAACCTCTTTTCTAAGATTTTTCAATAGTGCCCAAAAGTGTCCCGTCAGGGACGTCCCGTCAGAGACAGTGACTTTTTACACTTGACAGCCCATGCTGCCAAGGAAAGTAAACAAAACTGGCCTGTTTGTGCATTAATTGCTTCCCAAGACTTGTACCTTGCAGTATGAATCACAAAAGTCTTGATTAAATGAAATTTCAAAGAGAATTTTGCATTGGGGTTTTAGTAAAAAAATACAGGGGTCAAAAATGTCCCGTCAGAGACAGACCTTTAAGTGATTGTCATTCCCACATTAATTTCAATACAAATTAGCTGCTTGTTTTACATAATCCTTTATGGCCCAGCTAAATAAAAATGTATTTAAAAGTAATCATGTGGATCGTTTACCAACTGTAATTTTTAAAATTGTCTCTAAAATGTCCCGTCAGAGACATTTCAAATACCGTGTTTTGACCCTAGTAAAGAACTCAAAAACAACTTTTTGTCCAGATTTTTATTTTCTCAATACTTATGGATAAGTTATACCTTGGTGAATGTGGGAAAACAGTTGAAATGTCTAGGAAATTTTTTCTTTCTGTATAAAGGTCTTATGCATGTTGTCTGTCTTTAAGCAACTGAATACAAGAAGACCTGTCTGCTAGAAAGTTTTTATTTGCTTCACTGTATGACAACTTAAATTGGGCCTAAGTTGGCGTTTTTGCATGCACACCCCTTAACCTCTTTAACATATTGATAAAATATTTAAAAATATTTTTGTTGTCTGACAAAAATGCTGGTTGTTTCACAAATGTAAAGCTTTAAAGGTACATACGAACCGAGCATCGGTGGAGCGTGGATTCCCAGTAACACATGTAAACCTCTTCTACTAGATTCTTTTATGACTCAAATAAATTCTACATGCCAAGGGATAAACTGAATAGATCACTCGATCAGCCATAAAAGACCTATAGACTGCTCCTTTCTTTAAATTTTTGGTTGTAAATTTAACCTACTTTCGTGACCTACTTTCCTGCCCCATTGACATACAGCTTAGAATGCCAGCAGAAAAATCCGTTCAAACCTCATTTTCGGGTAAAATTAAACAATGCCTTTTGGTAATTCTCTTAGTTATACTACTTGAAACTATATGCTGGCATTTGGTTGGTTTTTGTGACAAAAAATTGACTTTGTATGCATCTTTAAGATTAAATGCTTGAAGGTGGTATTTATCAATTTATTTAGCCTTATAAGATTAGATAATGTTGACGGGACTTCATTTATTAATCTTTTTTTTTTAACCTGTAGCATATTCTAGTTGATGTGAAAGTCGTATCCTTTTTTTTTTTTTTTAATTTTGCTACATCACTGTCTTAATCAGTAAGACCCACTTAGACCTTACCTGTATTGAACCTAATGCTCAAGTCCTCCATTCAATCTAAAAGACACCTACGCAATGCAATATTGAGTAAAGCAAAAGAATGGATTTACATAGGTGATAGGAAGTGACTCTGGAGTCCCAAGAAACCAATTAAAAATAAAACAGAACAAAAAATCTTCGATTTATTAATCGTATAAATAATATAGCTCAACACACTTATTTACACTCACATGATTTGATTAAATGACAAATTCCTAATGAAGGTGTTTGATTGTATATCTGTATATAGTTTACCAAGCAGCCATTCTGTTTTAGATAAGAAGGAGACATGAAACTATTTGAATTGAAAATTTCAGGCCTACCCAACTACCAGACTCGGCACCGAATGATCCTGAATTCACCGGTAGATCACTACCCGTTTTCAAAGTGTGTGTCAGATCGCATTACACAGTATCAGACGTGACACCGCTCTTGCCTAGTACACAATGTGATAGTGAGGATTCTCAGCGGGGTTGAAAAGCATTGCATAACCACTCAAAATTTGTTCAGGGTATGATACTGTGTAATGCGATCTGACACACACCTTGAAAACGGGTAGTGTGGTCTGATTTACCGGTGAATTCAGGATCATTCGGTGCCGCGTCTGGTAGTTGGGTAGGCCTGAATTTACAACAGGCTTTTAGAATGTCTTTGGGAAGCCAGACGTGTGAACACTAGAACACAAGTTGAAGAATTAGATGTAACATCTTGTGTTAGTTCATATATAATATATTGATGTTAAATCTCTAGGTTACAAGAGGACTGGGGTTAGGGCATTGGGTTTAAATTTCAGCTTGATTGAGTCTGACACTTTCTATTGAAGTCTGTGGAAGAACACAAGTTGTGATTCATCTTTTATAGGAAATCTTGAATCATATTACAAACTCCAGTCAACAATGAGCCTGTTTTAAGTGAATGGTGAGAAGGCTAAAGGGGATAGTATTCTGTGAATACACAGTTTGCTGCACCAGCATGCTTAGTCATTTCAATGGAGATCAATTTCATTACATCCAGAAAACCTTGTTCATATGTGAGGCTTATGATCAGCCAACTGCCACTGGCCTTTATTACAACCTGGTTTCCATCTTGTAAGCATACCAGTTTCAGCTGCTTGTACTATATTATTGTTTGCATTGCACTTGTAAAAGCTTGGGTCTTTTTGAGGCTTTACTTAGTGTTGTGCAGATATATATTAGCTTTTGATATTTTTGGCTATAGGGTGTTGATGACATTTATCAGGACAAAGTTTATATTGCATAGATAATACAGTCAACTCATCTGTGTGTGTTGACCTTATAAATGAATAGTCAACTTGTCTGTGTTTGTTGACTTTCCAGCTGGAAACAGCAACTGGATTACAATGTTACTGTACTTGATTAGGTAGACAAGTGACAAATTGTTTCATTTAATATTGATATTAATTTATTAGAAATCATGAAATTAAAGATTAATACAGAGCTTTGATCTTATGCTTTTAATTCTTTTTACTGCGTGTGGTTACCATCATTAGAAACAACAGTGTGAGTTATTTATGGAAAAAACATGTTTGGTAAAATGTATTTAAGTAACGGTAATATTTTGACCTGGAAAATGGCAAAAGAATAAATTACCAATATAACATGATTCACCCTAAAGACCTGGACATCTGTGATAATAGTTTTTCCTTTATTTTCTAGGCACAAACATTTCTACAGGGGAGGAGGTTGCCATCAAGTTAGAATGTGTCAAGACAAAGCACCCACAGCTTCACATAGAAAGCAAGTTTTACAAAATGATGCAGGGGGGAGGTAAGGCAGTAGTTCTACTGTGTTACTCAGTGGAAATTTGAAATTACACTTGCTAAACTCAAGTTTCGTTATTTTGTTTTGTTTGGTTTTGTCTGTGCCAATATTTTTTTTTGATATTTTATAAGAATCACTAAAGAGCATATTAAGTCTGTTTTCTAATTTTTTTACACAAATTATTGAAAGAATGGCTAAAATGACTCAAAAATGTACATTTGTAAAGACAGAATGATATATATTCAGCTGATGAAAAAGAAAAAATATTGCAGTTTGATCCTAGTGACAGCTATTTCTATATGGCTGCACAGTGAAATATAGTGGTGTTGTGGTTGTGAGAGGAAATGGAAATTATGTATGGAGCTATATGTATTGGCTGTAGATATAAATTCTGCAAGATAATATTTGAATTCCATTTTGCCCTGATCAATAACACAACTTGCCATGTCCTGGATGATAAAGTCCTGCTTAAGATGTACAACCCAAAAAAGTGCATCATAGTTTTTACTTTTAAGATTTATGGCTTAATACAATTGGTCTCTTCTTCCAAAGAGAAAAGCATGCGTTGATTGAGGGTGCACTGTAGTAAGGCTAGTAACCTGACATATAAAACAAAGTATGAAGTGATAAATATTGTGTGGCAGTTGTCAAGAGATATAATATATGCAGTAGCCTTCTTTAATGTTGCTGATGCACGCTCCGCTGTACATTGATTCTAGTGTGAGTGACTCACTTTAGAGTGCATGAAAAGATGCAGTCAAATCAATTGCTATCTAGACTAAATGGGTAGTGTACAGTTATACTTGTGAAGGTGATATTGTTGACATACAGTCTGAATGCAATTGTGCTCTCCCTTGGCTTCATTGTTGAAGGGAATTCTGGTCATTGCATTCAGTAAAGATGAACTGAAATCGTATAAATGCATTGGGAATGAGGTGCAAATGTCAACTGAGGTATCATATGTTTATTATATCCTGTTCTGTATTGTTGAATTTTTTCCCTTTTTGTCTGGTATTGCGTTGGTATACAAGATGACATTTTAGAAAAAGTATGAACCAAAGTCAAATGTCTTTAGGTTGACCCATGTTTGTTATTACAAAATATTTGTGTTATCAGGTTAATTTCTTTTTCTACCGTGGAGAATAAGAGTGTAGTTCAACCAACTCTGAGGGGACACGCGCTTAATGCAATCAGATTTAAAGGTTAACATGCCTCCTCTTGGTGTTGAGTAGAATACAGAAAAGCTGGTGATTACAAGAGTATGGTGAAAACAAGGGGGTGTGTTCAAATATGTAAATCTGATTGCATTCAGCAAGAGTCCCTGGGAGTTTGTTCAAACTACCTGGTACGAGTAGTTTATTTTTAACGCACCCTAATTCTTTCTTAAATCATTTGGGCTATAAGAATCCTCTATCATATATAAAAATGAATATCTGTCATTAATTTATCTTCCAGTGGGGATCCCTACCATCAAGTGGTGTGGCACAGAAGGAGATTACAATGTCATGGTGATGGAGTTACTGGGTCCTAGTCTGGAGGACCTATTCAACTTCTGTTCAAGGAAATTCAGTCTGAAAACAGTGCTCCTGCTGGCAGATCAGCTGGTAAAGAAAATTGGCTTGTATGACGAAGTATTGATCACTGCCCGCTCCCTTGAAAAGACATAGTTTATGTGAATTTTTGTTGAAAGAAGTCAAAACAGCAAGTATGATTTAGAAAGAATTAATAAAGATTTGTTTGAAGCATCCAGTGTTTTTCTTTTATTTGCTGTTTTCCCTTTTCCACAATCTCTCTTACCAGTACTTAATATAGAATTTCTCTCCCTTTTATTTTCAGATAAGCCGCATTGAATATATACATTCAAAAAATTTCATACACAGAGATGTCAAACCAGACAACTTTTTAATGGGACTGGGCAAAAAAGGAAACTTGGTCTACATTATAGACTTTGGCCTTGCCAAAAAATACCGTGATGCTAGAACGCACCAACATATTCCATATAGGGAAAATAAGAATCTCACAGGGACTGCTAGATATGCAAGTATAAACACACATTTAGGCATAGGTAAGATATGTTGTATGTACTTGTCAACTTGTGTGTTTTAAGCTGGGCAGATATAGCTGGACCTTCTTCATTGCAATGCCAATCAGAATTTCAATCAAAATGTGAAAGAATGGATTTTGACTGTGGTTTACAGCTGCCAATAAAGCTCTGACTTTATCTGATCTAAATGGACAAATGAATAGCTTGTTTTGTATAATGGCATATGAAGCTAACTGCTTGAAATGGGATGAGTAATCTGTAATTACTTTGAAGAGCCAACATCATCATTCAAGTGAATCATTGAGAAAGACAGTTGAACTGTGTTTTATTCCCTCCAAAAACAAACGCTTCAGTTTGATTACTATATAAAACAAAAATATATGCTAGTTTTGTCTTGAGTGCATGAGCTGCACCTTGGTTGTATTGATGCTTGAAAATGTAGATAACCAATATTGTGCAGTTGATATGTTTTATTATTTTTCTATAGTTTTAATGATCATGGTATAATGGTATTGTTTATAAATTTCAGAACAAAGCAGGCGAGATGATATGGAATCATTAGGCTATGTATTTATGTATTTCCTACGTGGAAGCCTGCCTTGGCAGGGCCTAAAAGCTGCAACAAAAAGACAAAAATACGAAAGGATAAGTGAGAAGAAAATGTCTACACCAATTGAGGAGCTGTGTAAAGGATTTCCCTGTAAGTAGTTATTAAAAACTGGTGCTACAATTTTTTTAAAAGCTTTGGATGATAAATTTAAGATAAATTGAATTCCTTCACCAATTTAGCAATGAATTAATAAAGAAATGAAAATGAGTTATGTTTTCATAGATACCAGTCATCAATTACTGGTGGAGATGTTGGTTTACTGCAGCCAATTTTTCCCTCAAAACTATCAAAAGAAACCATCCACCCTCTCTCACTTGAAAAAAAAAATTAAAAAGTGAAAGAAAGAACATTTGGCTAAAAAATGGTTGTGGCAACAAAAATAAAATAATGTGTAAGAGTGAGCCTGGTGTGAAAATGGGGGTTCTTATGCAGTGAAGTATATGCCTTGTATTTTAGCTGAAATTAAATAGCAATGCTGGCTTCTTGGATTTGATGGAATATTTTTCTTTGGGCACTTTTTAAGAATTGCATCAACAGGAAAGAAATGTTTTACCAAGAATTGTTGGTTTTCATTTCAAAGAATTGATTATACATACCTCTGACATAAATGCTTTCTCGACAATTTTTCAGGTGGAAAATGTCATCTTGCATGGTATTATTAAGAATACAGTCATTTGTTCATACATTATGTTTTGATTAAACATATTTCCTCATTTTAGCGGAATTTGCTACATACCTCAACTTCTGTCGCTCTCTGAGGTTTGACGACAAACCTGATTATTCCTATCTTCGGCAACTCTTCCGAAACTTATTCCACAGACAGGGGTTCACATATGACTATGTATTTGACTGGAATATGCTGAAATTTGTGAGTGTAAAAGTGTCAATGTTTACTTTTTTAAAATGTGATTTATGTTTTCACCGTTAAGTATCACCTACAAGGTGGTTGTACCAAAAAAATATGAATTACATTCCTGTTAGCATTTAATAAAATTACGTTTAAAAAATTGAGTTGTAATTTGTTAAGTTGAACTATAAAAGCAATTCGGAGATCATTGCATTATATTGAGCAGAGCTATATATTTCTAATTTGTAGGGTAGCAGTCGGAGCAACGAGGAATCGGAAAGAGATCGACGGGACCGCCACGTACATAGTTCAACTACGCGTGCGCTCCCCGGCACAGCACAAGGTCGTACACGCAGCACAGAACAAGCCATGCCCAGCCCTGGTGCTGATTACGCTGGTAAGCGAGGCAGACGGCCTGGCAAAGCCAAGGTCAAGCAGGCTAAACTGACTTGAACAGTAGATGTGTTCTGATGTGTGCGTACCTAGTTTCCACTTGGAATTTAGACAGTATTATGGTCATAAGAGAAATTTTTTTAATGACAAGACTAATCATGCAATATTGAAGATTGAACAATCATTATCAGAGTGAACAGTTAAAATGTTGCAATTGATGATTACTTAGGTTGTTTTGCTGTTGATTTAATGTGAAAATCAAATAATGCATTGAGGTTGACCTCAGTTTTGTTGTAATAGTTTGATTGTTTCAAAAGAGCGATTATAATAACGATGATCTTTGCATTTATGATGTGATTATGACTGCTGCATGTTGCTGCCCTGTTCAAATATTTGATTTGTGATTTTGAAGCTTTGAGAATTTCTAGCTGTAGGTTTTATGCTTTAACTCTTCAAAAGAGACACTATGACTGATATTTAATTAACATTTAAAAAAAAAAAGCTTAAAAATGATGTCTTTAAAGATTTATTTTTTCATTTTGGTTCATTAATACATTTTCCCATATGCTGGCAGAAGTTCCTGCTTAAATGTGATTTCAATGCTGATTTGCCCTCCCTTGTTTCACTGAAAGAAAAAAAAGCCAAATATGGTGAATTGCCACATATTCCCTAAAATGAAAACTGCAAGTGTAATTTGCTGAAAGTTGTCCTGCTTCAGTTTCTGTATTTAAAATGTATGGGTAGAATTAACAGGAATGTTGTTGACAAAGTGATGGCATTAATTTTTTTTCACCAGTTTTGTATGGCATGTAATATATTTACTAGAGATAGTTCATTGAAATACATTATATGCTTAGCCAAATAAACATTTCTTGTGCGTCTGATGAGCTGTAGTGAATAACCCAGCACAAGTTCTACATATATACAACTAGTAACAAGCAGCATGATGATGAGGATGATGGTGGTGATGAATGAGAAATAAACACACTGAACAGCTACTTGTTTTCTTCTTATTTGAGGTAGGTAAACTAAAGTTCCCCAACTTTCAGTTCAGTACTAATACCAGTGACGTACATAGCCGTTCCTTCCCTAATAAGTTGGTATAGCATGAGGATTAGATCAAACTGCCTGCTGTGCATTATGCGTCAGTTCCAGAGTTCCAACTGACCTCTGCTTTCTTACCTACAGGTGCCCTGCCCAATGCTTGTCCCACAGGTACCTGTATATGTAATTTCTATTCCTGACTTGATCACATTTTCCAGTAATAAAACAATGACATCCTAATTGATAAAATTATAAGAAAAATTGATGATTTTTAACAGTTATTAATTTGAATTCTATCCAGTTGGGAATAATTGCCAACTGCAAGTCTTTATGACAACCCTGTCAATAATGTTTTGCATGTGGGAGAGCCTACTATTTTTCATACTGCATGTTCTTGCAAATAATCTTTTGGCAGTGGGAGAGGTATTTGATCATATATATTTTTTTCTTCGTCATCCTGAGTCTTACACATTGTCCCTTGCATTTTAGACCCATCCATTGAACGCCCATCAATGTCGGGGAGATCACGCATGTCTACAGCACGTGCCAGCATCACTGCACGTGCAAGCGTCTCGCACATCCCAGAGGTGCGTCCGCGACTTGTTTCCAGGGGCAGCTCAGGGCGAGTGGGGATAACTGGCACAGGGATTCCTGTGCCAAATTCAGACTTGATAAAAAGAAGAAGAGAGACAAACGAAGCTTCTGTTAGTCGCACACGTGCATCTCCTCGTAACTTGCCCTCGCCAAGAAATGCTCCTTCTCCACACGCTCCACATTTGCAGTGACTGTTAGGTCTGGTGTCATTTATTCAAAGGATGCAGTGTTAAGCTTGACTGCTTATTTGTGACTGGTGGAAGGGATAGGAATGTGAAGCTTGTGTCAACACTTTTTTCCTCATGATTGATTTATTTTCGAAATCTAAAAATTTATTGTTTATATACAAATTCTAATAATTGTACATACGAAAAAGTTATGTTCTTGCAACGTCAGTTGTTTAATTATCATGAAGAGTTGTAACCTTAACAGTATTTTGTGAGTAAGTGTATAATATAACACAATGGATGAAAAGAGTTGTTTTCTGTACATAACATCATTTTATGGGTTTATACTAGGGGATAAATTTAAATGTTTTATACTGAAGAAAAAAAAACATCTTGGTACTAATTCTATAAAGTGCAATTTGGAAGTGCAATATTCACTCGTTCTCACCAACTTCTGCTTATTGTTAAAATCCGTCTCAGGTACTTCCTTGTTGTGAGCTTGTAAGTTGAAAACTGACTGACTCAAATATTGACTCAATTATTTTCTCATTTGATTTCATGAAACTGGGGGTGGGTGGGTTGGGGATAATTCAGGAAGGGAAAAGAGACATTTGCCAAAACATTTGTACATTTGTATATATGTGTTTATTTTTGTGCTTACATTTTCTGAATGCACAGTTGCGAGGGATGACTGAAGAACACTGTATTTGTACATGAAAGACATAAAGCAAGATAACATATTTGTGTATTCTCGGTGATGTGATAAATTGAGTTCCCATTGCCAAGGGCCCTTATAGACTGTTTTTGTATTACGCCCACTTGCATGAAAGCAATAACTTGAAATAGATTTTTATGAAAGATGAGGATTGTTTTCCCAGTCATAAGGAAAAGTTAAACAATGTATTTTCACTTAATGTAATGAAAGATGTGGGCATCTTATCTTTGAATTTGACATCAATATGCTTGTAACTTGATAGAACTAATTCAAGTGTTTGATAACTCATATATTAATGAAACATTTGTTACACCTACTTAATTTCAAGATATTATTTTGTAAAAGACTGTTTGTCTTTTTTTTCTTTTTTTTTTTAAGATTGGTTGTCAACAATCCTCCACTTATCCCTTTTCCTGTAAATTGAATGTGGTTTTAACTTGGATGTATAAAATTTACACGAGCAATGAATATTTTGCAGATTGAAATGTGGAAAATTGTTACCTCCATTCAAGGATGATATTGTTCAATCTTATCAGTGTAAATCAATCAGGCTTGTTGCTTTTGAATCTTGATGTGATAAGCACTGCCTCCTTATTCTTAAAGATACTGAATTGAATGAAAAGGTGTATAATTCATTTGAGAAAATAAAGAATGTTTATATGGAAAATGGTGTTTATATGGAAAATGGTTGTGTTACCAAATACCAAGGGTGCTTTCATCTGTGTGGAAAAAAAAGGAATGGTCACCTAAGTTTTTCTAATTCCATAGAGTGATGAGTCCAGATTTAAAAATCCAATGTAACGTCAGTTACTCTGATATCCAGAATTGGATCCTCTCAAAAGTGTGCATTATAAACTAGTATGGCATCCAATTAAATTGAACGGGGCAGCATTGCAGCACGCATTTGTAAAAGAGCAAAGGGGATTTAGCAGTCTTTACTCTGGCCTGGCCATGGTGTTTCTCCTTATATTTATTATTGTTGTTATTATTATTATTACCAGATCGAGAGCGACGTATCAGCATGCGCATTCATCGTGGTGGTGCTCCAAACATGTCCAGCTCGGATCTCACTGGTCGTGACGGACGGATGTCTGCCTCCCACTTGAATCCTGGTGTAACGGGACTGAACTCTGCCATGAGACGAGGTAGTGCATCCAAGGAAGGGGACATCACAGGCCGGTCCTCCTCCTCAAGACACTTGAAAAAATGAACCATTGGATTGTTAACGATGCCATCTGGTGTCCTGTGGTGTGTTTTCTCCATATAACTGGGCGGACTTATGACATGGATCGGAGAGAAATGCAGGGCTTTTATGGATCCAGTTCNAAAGCGGGGGGTGGGGGGGTTGGGGATAATTCAGGAAGGGAAAAGAGACATTTGCCAAAACATTTGTACATTTGTATATATGTGTTTATTTTTGTGCTTACATTTTCTGAATGCACAGTTGCGAGGGATGACTGAAGAACACTGTATTTGTACATGAAAGACATAAAGCAAGATAACATATTTGTGTATTCTCGGTGATGTGATAAATTGAGTTCCCATTGCCAAGGGCCCTTATAGACTGTTTTTGTATTACGCCCACTTGCATGAAAGCAATAACTTGAAATAGATTTTTATGAAAGATGAGGATTGTTTTCCCAGTCATAAGGAAAAGTTAAACAATATATTTTCACTTAATGTAATGAAAGATGTGGGCATCTTATCTTTGAATTTGACATCAATATGCTTGTAACTTGATAGAACTAATTCAAGTGTTTGATAACTCATATATTAATGAAACATTTGTTACACCTACTTAATTTCAAGATATTATTTTGTAAAAGACTGTTTTTTTTTGTTTTGTTTTTTTTTTTTTAAGATTGGTTGTCAACAATCCTCCACTTATCCCCTTTCCTGTAAATTGAATGTGGTTTTAACTTGGATGTATAAAATTTACACGAGCAATGAATATTTTGCAGATTGAAATGTGGAAAATTGTTACCTCCATTCAAGGATGATATTGTTCAATCTTATCAGTGTAAAACAATCAGGCTTGTTGCTTTTGAATCTTGATGTGATAAGCACTGGCTCCTTATTCTTAAAGATACTGAATTGAATGAAAAGGTGTATAATTCATTTGAGAAAATAAAGAATGTTTATATGGAAAATGGTGTTTATATGAAAAATGGTTGTGTTACCAAATACCAAGGGTGCTTTCATCTGTGTGGAAAAAAAAAGGAATGGTCACCTAAGTTTTTCTAATTCCATAGAGTGATGAGTCCAGATTTAAAATCCAATGTAACGTCAGTTACTCTGATATCCAGAATTGGATCCTCTCAAAAGTGTGCATTATAAACTAGTATGGCATCCAATTAAATTGAACGGGGCAGCATTGCAGCACGCATTTGTAAAAGAGCAAAGGGGATTTAGCAGTCTTTACTCTGGCCTGGCCATGGTGTTTCTCCTTATATTTATTATTGTTGTTATTATTATTATTATTACCAGATCGAGAGCGACGTATCAGCATGCGCATTCATCGTGGTGGTGCTCCAAACATGTCCAGCTCGGATCTCACTGGTCGTGACGGACGGATGTCTGCCTCCCACTTGAATCCTGGTGTAACGGGACTGAACTCTGCCATGAGACGAGGTAGTGCATCCAAGGAAGGGGACATCACAGGCCGGTCCTCCTCCTCAAGACACTTGAAAAAATGAACCATTGGATTGTTAACGATGCCATCTGGTGTCCTGTGGTGTGTTTTCTCCATATAACTGGGCGGACTTATGACATGGATCGGAGAGGAATGCAGGGCTTTTATGGATCCAGTTCTACATGAATTAGACAACCTTTCTCTCTTATGTGATGAATGCAGCATGTGGAGGAACTGTAAAGAGGCCCTGCTGGGGGGGGGGGGGGGGGGAAAANAAATTGTGTGGTGGTAAATATATCTTTTTTATGATGCTGAATAAAATAAGTGTGGAGAGTGAGGTCCTCGTGTCAAAAGGAAAGGTAAAAAGAATTGTTGTATATCTGCTTGTATAATTTTTTCATGTCAAAATTTATAAATATTTGTATAGAGAAAAAAAATATGTACAAATTTGCGTATTAGAAAATAAGTATAAGATACAAAAAGGAAGATAGCCCTGTGGAGCAATGTCTTGATGTTTGTAATTCTTCAGTATAGTAAAATCATAAATATTGTGCAAATGGAAGACGGGGCAGTATGAAGATTCTTGGACAGGAGACCCAATTTAAACCCTAATGGGGCCAATCCAAATCTTTTTTGAGACAAAAGAGTCAATGATCTAGTGAATTCTGGTGTCTGAGGTGGATTTCATTGAAAAAACAACAATCTTTAAATTCTAGCTCTGGGCATTAGGACTTCTACATCACTAGGCCTCATCTGGGCCCAGTAGCATGTCTGACTGCACCATCATAACATTAGTGGTGGAAACATTGTAATTTTTGCTCTGTTTTTGCAGACCAGTAGATGCTATGGGACACTGGTCTGTCTTAAACCACTGTCCATTATACTTGCCCTATGTCCAGTAGGATTATGGTCTTACTGACTTTAATATGAGATAGTGGCCTTGGACCAGTATAGTCATTTCTGTCACTGCACTGATCTATGGTAATTACTCACTTTTCAATGGGGAAAAATGTAAATTTTACAGATACTGTATTTTGAAGTCATAATTTCTTTAAATAAGAACATTTCTGTTGAGTGGTAGGAACAAAATTAAAAAGCAGGCAACAAGTTCTTTTTTATATAGTAAAAGCAAGATAAATGCTATATATAATGATAATAATTTTTGTGATAATGAAATTATGTGTCTGAAAGTTTGATAATTTTTGCCCATTGAAAAGAATGGGCCATTACGTGTCATTATTTGCAGTGGTGTCAAGAGAGGTACTCGCCAAATGGGCCATTTTGTCTCCATACCTAACCAGTATCATTTGTTTCCAGGTTGTCAATGTGTAGGAGTTGAGTGTGGCTTGAAGTGGCATTAGAAGTCCTATATAATAAGAGATCTTCACTACTTAATCATTAGTTATTTGCACATACTAAGAAGTTTTTGTCTTGATGATGAGTATGATGAAGGATCTGACTTTTAGTACATCAGGTTTATTCAGTAACACCACATCATCATTATGGTAGAGGTAAAGCTATTTAGCCTGTATGCTTTATAACATGATTTTTTTATCCATTGGAACACCTGTTGGTGTTAATTGTTGAATTATAAGCAAGGATTAATACTTAGTCTACCAGCTTCACCCTATCTGTACTAATGTGGTTTTCAACTTAATGTTAGTACTAATTTGCTCCTACAATGGATTGGTTTTATTAGGTCTACCACATTTGGCATTAGTTTCGTCTTTAAGCATTGATAGGTTTCTGATGAACCTGTTTACCAAGAATGTTAAATCCCTGGAAATCATTTGGCAGATTGTTATGGTTGCGTATATAACTATCGCTTGAAGAAACTGGTCAAGGGTTTGAAAGACATTCTGCGTGGGTGAAAGAACTATTTTCTATGCTACTATTTTATGATCAAAATATGTCAAAAGGTATGGTTCTTTTAAGGGATCTCTTTCCATATACTAGTTTATTTATATACATAAATGCATGTGGCATGTGAAATGGGTAAGGGATGAGATGCATTTGATATCAATGTAATATAGAGAATAATGACATTTGCAAAGATAGCCCCAAGGTTTCTACAGCTTGACTGGAAAGGTGTTATACTAGTGCAGATGGAAAGAATTGGTCTCATTTCCCACTGGATCACACAAAACAAAGATGCAGGGTACATGTATGTGGCCATGACAGTGGTATCTTCAAGGGGTGGGGGTGTATATTGAACAATTGTGACACTCTTTTTGTATGTAGAAGTTCTTGTAGATAATTAATCCAGCCTGGTGTGGGCAGTGTAGAAATACTGTACAGGAAGAATGTTTTATGTTGTCTGTCACTTCATCATTCAGCAGCTCTCTTCGTTAAGTCAGTCTGATGGAGACAGTTTGATGTACAGAATGCAATGAGATGTCCATAAGAAATAAACGGGCTGTCAGATACCAGTCAGGTGGCATTTGCTGTAGTCATACTTAGGCAATATATTTCCACAAACTGTTCTCAACCCTGGGTGTCAGAGCCTGTCGGGCACGTATTGTGCGTGGTAGTTACAGCGGGCGGTGCCAGATAAGCTTTGAAACTCCGGGTGCCTTAGCAGAGAAATTGTTTGGAACGTCTCATATGCTTTGTGCTATGTTAAGTGCATCTAATGTATTTTCAGTTTAGTCTGATTGAAAAAAAATTATCGACGAGAATGTTGATTTTCATTTACATGATAATAAAAATGGTACTTTAAGGAAGACTCGACTTTGTTATCATTTCGGAACCAAAAAGACATATTTGTTTTACGTATATATATATATTACGTATCAGTGTGTGTTTGAAGGCTCTCTTCTGTAAAGCCATACCTTCAAGGGAATCCCTAAAAATGTGTGATTTTTTTTACTCCACTAGGATTCTAGGTACTGAAGTATTGCAAATCTGAGGGTATATGGTTTCTTTAACACTCGAAATCATTGGATGCCAACAATGTGACGTAATTGGAAATGTCAACGAGATAGCGTTTTATCATAATTAGGTCACCCATTTTGTTGAAAATTCAACTTCTCTACACCTGCTGACAGGCTTGCTCTCGGAATATAAATGTAATTACGTAATTTAGCTGTAAACTTGTTTGAATTTGTAAGAGAAGTGCCTCGTAAGCATTAATCGATTATCCCTATTGTAGTAAATTGACAAAACTCGATATTTCTTTTTAGACTATTTCTATAACGTAATCGGCCATATAATACAAAAAATAATTGTCTCACCTACAACATTTGGAATATCTAACACATCAAGCTGTTTCACAAGCCATCTGCAGTTATTGTTATATTGCTGTGTTTAGATGAATAAACTTGATTTGATTCATGTGTAAAACCGAATTTAGAAAAATAGAATGTATTCAACCTTAGGGAGGCAACCGTTCAACGTGTGATGAGGAGTCAATTTTACATGGACAGAAGCCCAGTGTTTCCTATTAGCACGCATTTTCACCTCTTGATCATATTATTTATTATCGATTCCATTTCTTTTCATGTCTTTTCCTCTTGATATCAATGTGACATACATTGTGCTGCTGGCCTCCCCTCCAGCCTTAGTCTTATGCCTATATGTGTCACCTTCCTGCATATATCAACTACCACAGTTACGCACATTTATTTAACGCCCCCCCTTCCCCCTTCTTTAGTTCTCTGGACCCACTCTGTACTACACTGTCCCGCCAAGCTGGTACAGAGTATTGTCAGAGATAGAACCAAGAACCTCTGAGCGGTTCTAAGGATTCCAACCTAATTTAGAGATGTGCCGGGGAGATTGCATCTGTAATTGTCTCCTTGTCGGCCTGTGAGTGTGTTCACTGGCATGCCTATGTGGCTCTTCCAGGAAATTGATGGACTCTTTTATACAAGTAGATGTATTGTCGATTCGGAATCGGGTGTTTTGAATAACTAATGACATTGCCTTTTTAAGTTTAAGAGAAAGATATTGCATGATGCCCTGTCTCTCTTTCTGGAGGCATCATTTGCGGATGCAGGATTTCAAGCAGGAGGGGAGGGGGGCTAAATGTTGATCCGAATTCTTGGCTATGTCAGACATTTTGTAGTACATAATTTAGTAGTGGACCTTGGAATGTGCCCTTTTCAAGAAAGAGTGCGGAAACGTCTTTTTACTCTTTAAGAGTGGTTAGGAACCGCACCGACCGGCCCACATCCCTGACTTCTCGTATACCGGCACATTAAGTTATCTGAATACTAATAACTAAGGTGTTTTATTTATAGTACATTGACAGACATTGGCTACGTGACAGGTAATTCTACTAAAAGCAAGTCACTTTAAGAATGTTCCTCCCTAATTTATTAAAAGACACGTACAATATGTGAAAACGGCACCAAATGGTTACAGAGTACGCACGAACAAAGTATGATTACCTATTCGTTACAAATGCAGTTTTAGAACCATACAACAGGGTTCGACTAACACTGTGTCCACTGTACAGGGCCTCTTTTAAAATGCAAAACTACGATACAACCACACACAAAAATCCTATTACAATAACTTTATCTTCCGGCGCGAAATGATTAAAGAACTTCTTTACATATAACTTAAAACAAAAATCGCCGGAAGCTGGTTGGGCAATGGAACAATCCTCACTGTATAGTCTTGATCTTAACATGGTATTACTTTTATAGGAACTTGATGCTGCTACAGTTTTCTTTCTTTTTTTTTTCCACTTCCTACAGGGTGCTGTGACCTACACGATATTGCTACCCATTCATGTTTCATGGCCTATCAGCATAAAGTCCGCACTGCCCAAGTTTTCGGTTTCCATGCAATTTCACGTGCACTATAGAAAGTTTCAATGGTGCCGGTTTTAAACATAATCATTCAGATTGTCGCTAGCCCATGACAAAGCTCCAACTACACAATACAAACGTACCAAACATTTGGCACTGTCTTGTTTCTTAAATGATCACTTTTTTCCCCCCGAGTCCCATCGGCGACTCTTCTCGAGTCGGACCACGCTTTCTCTCTCTTGTAACAAACAAGTGAACACATTCCAGAACCTTTTGAAAGGCACGTGGTTCCGATTTTTTTTATAACAGAGCAAAGGCGATGCTCAATCCACAACCGCTATTTACCATCAGCATGCCTAAATCCAATAGAAACACCATGTGACAGACCTGCAGGGGTCGTAGCAAAATTACACGATCGATGATAGTAGGCCTACGTTACACAACAGACATATAAGCCTTCATACCTTTCGTATATTCCACATTGTCTACAATACACATATGTTAACGTTATATCCGCTATTCAATTCACTTTTAGTTTTAAATCATTTCCTTTTTATGATGGCATGTCATTTGTTTTCCACCGCCAATTTGAGCACGTTCTGCCCTCCTACATGTACACACCCTCCTCCTTGAAAGTCGATCAGATGTGTAACTATATAAAGTTTTTAATAAAAGCTTTTAATTTCAACTCACGTGAATTGAATGTATCTCAGAAGTTCTTTCTCTTTTAATTCCCATAATACTGATGATTATAAATTTCTTATTACGAAATCCACCATGCGTTGTGAATCGTCTTTGAAACGCGTCGTTTTTCATTCAGTTTTGTTTTGCTGAATACCAATAATAATACTCTCTCTCTCTCGCTCTCTCTATCTCTCTCTCTCTCTTTTACGGCAGATAAATATTTGTAATAATAGAATAATAGAATTCAAAATTTTGCAAAAGAATCTTGCGAGGCTGAGCTTCCATTTTTCATGAAACCAATACTTTCCATTCATACGGGGGTCATTCTGTGGGAAGAATCCGAATGATGGTTGTTAGGATTCAGAGGCTTTAAAAGGAACATATCCGCATGGTTTTGGCCTGGAAAGTCTCTAGAAAGTGTGTAGTTGGAAGTTTCTCTAGACATTCCAGCTGCATAGGTGAAGTAGGTCCTTTCAGAATGCGAAGGAGAATTTTCTCGAGAATGCTCGCGGTCATGTGACCTTGAGCGCGATCGGCGACGCCTTGAATTTCTAATCACGTGGCTGGCACCACCCCCAACATGATTCTCAGTGGGCTGGACGCTATCATTGATAGCGCGTAACCTTTCCCTCTTTTTTCTGTTTTCACTTTTATACCGGAATATGAATAAGTAAACGGATAGCACGCCAGAAAGTTCCATGATGGCAAACGAAGTGGCGACCATAGTGAATGATGAACCGTATCTGTAGGTAAAAACAGGTTTCTCTCCTATGCCGGGTGGACGTACATGAGCTGCTTCGCTTGCAATGGCGCCGATGTAGAATATTAAACCAATTAGTGTGCTGAGACCTGAATAAAATTTATGAAGAATATTTAATATATCAGAAACGAAACCTTTTTCGCAAATGGAGAAACCGTATATCAATCCGTGTGTGTGTGTGTGACTCATTTTTAAAAGCGTCTTTAACGGCACCAGATATCAAGAGAGGCCTCCACATCTATAGGCCTATAGCATGAACAACGCTTCCACATAAAAAAGTTCCATATTTACGAAATATTGCAAAAGAAGAAGAGCAATTGTGTGCTTGACCTTGTTACGTACCTGCCAGGACAAACAGGACCCCAGCAACAAAGGACAGGTATAACTTCTTGTCATAGCAATGGCTGGCAAAGCAGACGATCCCTCCCGTCATTTGCAGAAGCAGACTGATTAATGGCATCATGGTCGAAGTCTTGATGTTATCTGCGGTAAAAATGAAATGTTCGCGCAACTGGATATTTTTTCGTGGGCTTACTACAGAAATTTTATTCCGAGCAATATCTTAGTATACAGAAGGCAATGAGTGTTTAGATTTAAATTTTGACGAAACCTGTCACTTTGAGCAAAACCTTAAAATTGTAAGTACGTAAGTTACTTAAGTACCAATTTGTTACTAATATGTTCTCTTTTACTGCTACCAATTATGAATAAACCAAGATATTCTATCTATTACAATCGGCACAGACGGCTCTGAAGGAGAAAGGCTCACGCTTTGAAACAAAATCGAAATCAGCCCGTCTCTTTCCTAAACACACATTGATATCTATGAGATTATATTGAGTGTACTTAGAATTTAAAATACCCAATATTGTACAATAAACAAAAAAATAAATCGGTGAGAGGTATGGGCCTGATCTTGAAATCACGAGTTCCGCTCCACTGTCAAATCGAATTTGTTTTTATGAAATATGACATACTTACAAAGTATTGCCTCTGTTCTCTGAGAATCATCCTTTTCTTCAAGACTGAAGTACTTGATATAACTGCAGTTCAGCTTAACTTTCATGCATTCTGTGAAAATAGTAAAATTATACATTTCAAACATTACTAATTAACTATTTAAAATCAATGGAATTGGAATTGCCTGTAAGATGTACATTGTACTCTCCCACCTACTTAAGGTTTAACTCTATTACTATGGGTAAATCTAGGTCTATTCAACCCGAACTGCATGATGCCCATAAATAACCGTCTAGCATTTAAAAAATCCAATACGCCATCCCAAAACATATAACGCACAAAATGTTGTTTAAGAACAGGTGTCAAAAGGTGAAGGAGAATCCCATTCTCAAAACAAAAATCTGACTTGATGACTTACAGTGTAGCATATAAATGGCGATTGGCACTTTTTCCTATTAAGGCATAAGCTCCAATGGTTTTTACTTTTACGGATTCATGGAATGAGATCGGAGTTGAAAAGTTCGAAAACCATATTGTGGTTGTCTCACAGTTTAGAAAAGTTTGTCATGAGTTTGTATAAGTTGGTATCATTATCATCATCATCATCATTGAAATTGGTTTTTTTTTAAACATTCGTCTTCCACAGCAAGAATATACTGTAGATATATACTGTAGAACCTGAGTTTTGGGCGAAACGCGTTCAATGATAGTTCTTTTTGGGAAGCAATTTCGGCAATCATCAATTATAAGGATGGATTGTAAAAATAAAATGCATACTAATGTTTTACAAATACTACAGATATTTCCACATCATTACAACTAGCAGTCGCAGTATAAAGGTAACCATACAAGAGAAACAGTAGGCCGGGAGGCATTAGTATTCTTGAGACCAAATGTCGCCGCTGGAAATCATGCCCTCGCCATTAACGATGGTCGATTAGATAATTGTGCACGGCGAATATGTGGACTCTGCCCTTGGTTCATTAAGGGACTGTGGTATAGCAGCAAACCCAATTGAGTCACTGTATCGATAATATAAATATGACACAGCAAAGGCAGTGATTAAACCCGTTGCACCCGCAGTGATTTGGTAGCTTGGTCCAAGGTTTTCCGATTCTATTGATTATTCGCAGTCTGGAGATAATGATAACTTAGTCATCGCTTTTTCAGACGCTTTATCAAAATAAATGAAGTTATGTGATCTACTTATTTTTGGCACCTGGTGCCACAGTTATATATCATTCCCACATGGAATAGCCTCAAAAGTTCGATTAATGTGAACATTTATTATTTCTACAAGTCTTTATCTTGTGGAAATATTCATGATCAAATGTAAAAAAATCACTTGACTGAAGTATACTCTTATGTTATTAACTTAGATAAGAAGATGAATACTAAAGTTTTCTTTCATGTGCTTTCAATATGCTTATTTTGGCTATTGTGTCTGAAATGCCATTTGAAACATCCGTCCAATTTGAAAAAAGAATGTCCATTTCTCCTTTCAATATTAAAACGACTGATTGTATTTTCAGATAACTAGTTGAGTTTTTTAATGCACACTTTTATGCTTCACAGGGTGACAACAGAATCAGCTATAATCTTTTTATATAAGACAGCAAAGGACATTTTAAATGGAAGAAGAGTGTTCTTTCAACGGAACAAAGCTTGGCAAGTTGATAAAAAGTCTCAGGTGATTTTTCTTTAGCATAGCAATGTTGGTCGTTTCACACTGATCGATAGACTAACCTTCAGTTCTATAGACTGCTAGTTTAAGTAAGGACATTCTTGCTATTTTATTCTGAGACAGCCAACCAGGACGACACTGGATTGAAAGTAAGGACGCTTTGATTATACCCTTAACGGTCAAACAGTTTTAAGACAATACAAATATTTAGAAATTAATAATTACATAAAATAAATGTTGACGTTGTGGATCTTTTTTCTTCTTTCTTTTTTCTTTTTTGTTTCTTTCTTTCGTTTTTCCCCCTTTTTTTCTTTGTGTGTGAGTGTAAAACCGGTATGTCGCAAATCATTTTTGTTAGTGTTTTTATATATCTGTATTACGGTGCCATTACGATGTCATTAAAAATCAATCCAATATCCATATTTATGTTGATTACAAAATGTTTGATGTTTCAAGTAATTAACACGTCTAACAACATTACAAAATAAAGCACAAACGAAATTAAGAGTTTTTCTATATAAATAATTCCAGATTTATAATTGATGAAAACTTGAACATAATAACGAATATGCCCAAGATAAAAACTTTCGGGTATATAGGTATAGCTTCTACCCTGCATATCTTTATTTTATCCATCGTGTAATCCGGTAATGAGCTCACAGTCATTAGTAACATGAAATTATGTATTAATGAATTCTTCCTCATTCAATTACCTATAAGTAGTTTGTGTGTGTGTGTTTGTGTGTGTGTGTGTGTGTGTGTGTGTGTGTTTTCTTTTTTTGGGTTCAAAGAGATGAAAAGATAGGCTTGGGTATGCGTAAGATCCAACGTGCACCTCACATTCATTAAAAACACGAAACAACCCTGGTGTCACAGAAATGAAAAATCTAGTGTGGGTTGAAGGGCATTCTTGAAGCACATGTAGTTGCCATTATCTGTTACTTAAACCCACTGATAATTTAAGCAACTGCACAAAAATGGAAATTTAATTGATGTAAGACACTTGGCTATAACAACAGTTGCCAGGTTTTAGCGGAGATGATTCGCGTAATACGCCATATGCACTAGGTTTATTTCAACATATTTTGCTCAATATACTCGCACAATACTTTCAGTTCTGATTTTTTCACATAAATCTTCATAAAGCTCTTCAAAACAGCCAATGGCTAGCTAATTGGCGCTTTTGCTCTATATTATCCTACACACCCAAGCAAGACAGTCAGTCATGGCTTTTGAATAGCCTTTCACGCCACAAATTAAAGGAGCTATGGTGTAACTGCATTAGCATCACAGTCCTATGAAATCCCTTGAAACTGCTTTTTGTTGTTTTTGGCAATTTACCTTAAAAGCACTCTGCTTTGATTAGAATATCAAATTTTTTCTGCATTACTGAAGGAAGACTAAACAAGGTAATTGACGGCAAGGGGCTGTCTTCGGGGACAGAGCGAGGGTTTCAGTAGGCTCGGCAATGGCTGCTATCTGTACATATTCCAGCGAGTACATGCATGACCAACGATGCCTTCGTGCATGAGAAGAAAATTGATGGAAAACACAGACAATCGCGGCGATGCGCTAGTGTACAGCTCACAAATATACTTACAGGAAAGTCAACGAGTCGCTTGTTAATAAATATGATCGAGACGGTGCATATTTAGTCGAGTCCACAAAAATATGGTTAGGTGGGCACCTGACCGCGTTTTTATATTATGTCATTTATGATCCTATAACATTCTTTCCTGGATCAGCTGGTTCGTGCAACATGTAAAAAGAATTAGAGTACTGACCTCATAGATAACCAATCCAATTCTACAACGACGTTTAAAGATTTATTTTTCAGTAATAGCATTTTATATTACGAAAGAGAGCTATTTTGTATTATCAGTCTATGCGAGAAATTAAATATAAACCGAGGCAAACCGATCCTTGAATAATGATCTTTCGATACACTGTAACATTTTTTGAGAAATAATTTCCTTTCTGATGACTGACATTTTTCACAATACCAAATTGCCCATGGGATCTGACTGGTTTAAACACGACAAATTAATTACAAAGATGTTTGAAATTGATCCTCTCAGCGTGCTCCTAATTTAAACCTCAAAGTGAATAGCCTCCTGGTCACGGTACATTTTGAATATGCCCGTAGGTTCCTATTTAACTTCCTGTTTAGGATTCTGTCACTAAAAAGAACGTAAATTTTTAATACGGAGGGGGGGGGGGGGGTACCAATAAGAGAAGGGTTGCGACATCAATTACAGAAATGGTCATATGATACAACGTTTTAATGTTAAACAACGTTTTAATGTTAAAACATTTTAATTGGAGACTGATATTTTCCAAGAAAGATGTCTTTTCTGGTATAGAGTCGAGAAAAGCATTGCCTTTCACTATTTATGGGGATATCATGAATAAATTAGAAATTAGCAACGCCATTTTAACTTTTATTTACTAATATCGCAACTAAGACTTTCCAGAAAATATTCTCAACAATGCTCAGAACTAAAAGGATAATATTTAATAATCCTCCCATGAGAATGACATCATATTCGGGGAGGAAGAGAGGCAGATGCAAAGATCTTTTTGTGACGGAATCAATATCACAGTGACAGTGCCATTAAATCATCAAGACATTATCAGTTTCCGAGGGACTTCGAAAGACCATTTGACAAACACAAAGACGATTCATTTTTATGCACTTTCTCTCTTACTCTCGCACGCGCGTTTTACACGTCTACACTTAAAGAGATAACAGTGCGAAATATACGTTCATGTACACGCGCGCAGGAGCACACACACACACACACACACACACACACACACACACAGATGGGCTCGTATGTACAGTATCATACAAAGCAATCAAGCGCACGCACAAACATGATCTTTGAATGTGTTTGAATGCACAAACATGTCCTCACAAACTTAAACACAAACACAAACTTAAACCCCTAAACACTAAGCACGAAGATGTATTAAAACAAAATGTGACCCTTTCTTGTCCTCGTGCTCAGGTGTTGCCAACGCCAGCTTGCTTTATCGCTGATGAGTGCATGTTCTTTTCCGCTGCGTTTCATAGCGTCCCCTAGGGACTCATTTCCAACTACATTTCCATTGCCAGCCCGACTTCGTCTGTGCTATTGGCAACCATATCAGGCCGAGTCCCAACATACAGAAAAGAAAGATGTCCTAAGGGTTTTATACGTTTTAACACGCATTATATTTTTGAGTTGTGAATTTTTGCTAAGACTATTGCCTACCTACCTTGTGAATAGCATTTTTTCCACAAACCGGCATGCGTGGATTTAGTCACCTCTGTCTGATTGCACCCCGTCACTATCTCGGTCATGTATATCCAGTAGTCCGTGGCAACACCCATGGAGAGGAAAGCGAACGCCGTGCTGGCACAGAGACTGGTTAAGACCATCAGGAAACGCTTACGTCCACACCACGCCATAATACTTAGTTCTTCCAGTTTCTGGGTGTACTGCATTAGATGGTCCCTTTAACAGTCGTTAACACACAAAATAACAAAAATCCTCCGTGAAAAAAGACCACTGAGACAACTGCCCGAGGAAAACCACTTGTGTTCTAAAACGCGTTTCAGATGTTTTCCACTTAAGTATCCGGCTTATTGAAGAAGACGCTCTATTCAAAACCCGCGTGTACTGCTTTGGAGGCCTGCCCATCGATTTCGCTGCTTTGAATTTTGTTCACCACGAAGAATCAGACTAGAAAAAAAACTCCTTGTATTGTTTTAGATTCAAACCTTGTCCTTCACTTATTTTTTGACATATTACGTTCACACAATTAATCCAATGTTGTCTCTTTTCATGATCTTGAGCAAGCTTCTGGCATTAGTACGTTCAAAAGGCATATTTATACGAAATCCACTCTTATGAAATAAACAACCATTTCACGCCTTGAAAATTCTACAGAGGAATGATAAACCGCATTACTCAAGGTGTTATATTATTAGTTTAAAGAAAATCCAACTTCCGGTTTTTCGGATCACGTTGTCAGCTAGGCGCTAGTTTCGTCAGGTTTTCGTGCCACTAAATGATTCACTTCCCTCTCCTTTTTTCATAAATAATATTTGCCAAAATAAGTGTGCTTTTGAAATCACCGTGCTGAATCAATCTATATATCAGTAAGCCTCTGTGTTCTCTTCGAAAGGTCCCTTGTCTCAAACGTGCTACGTCAAGTCAGGTCAGCGCCATATCTACTTGTGTAGCTCTTCAACTGATGGCATCAGAGGCCGTCCTGTTTTATTTAAATCGTTGACCTAAGTTGGTGCGAGTCTCAGAGCAACCTATCTAATGGAGTTTCCAAAATGCGCATTGACGTATCGTCCACAAGTGGGATGTTCATAGACGCCTGCTGTTCACTTGCAAAGAAAAAGCCATAAATGCCTTAACGAGGTTACCTTTGTAAAGCAAAATAACATATTCATAATGCCTGCAATTCCTGTAGGTAGAGAATATATTTTTCTTATTTTCATTACAGTATCGACTCATCTTGTCATTTACAACCATCATATCTAAAACCGAAAGATCTTCATTTTTTTATTATTATTTATATCAATCTTTTACATCCAGACAAAAAANATAACTCCTTGCCATCTCGAATGTCACTACAAATATTTTAAAGGCAAAATATTATAAATTATAATACATAAATACCTTTGGGTTTTACTTTTGCACACACTTCAACGTTGCTTCTGCTGTATTCGTCTATGCATGCATACATGGTAGCGTTTTGCCAGACCATTAAGCAGATATCAGCCAGAGAGTTATCTTGAGCGAAAAAAGCATTATCGAATTTTGTGTCTCGGGGCATCGGCCACAGAGCGTACTTCATCACAGGGAGTCGCTCGATGTTCCATTTTGTGGTAATTGTCTAGAATCAAATCATCGAGTCATGTAATTTTGTTCTTTCTTGACATCTTCATTAGCATTTCAAAAACTGGTTGGATTGAAAACGCTTGTGGAGAAAACAAGATCGTGGGTCAATTGCGCACGCGCACTTGCGAACATTGGTTTCTTATTAGAAATTTAATTAAAGCAGGTCCAAATTCAATCTGGGCTTATTTATTGAGATTATTATTGTCTTTGCTCTGCTTCCATTAAGATATCGATTATAATAACTTGATTTTCCGTGAAAGTGATTAGGGATGCCAGCAGAAACAATACTTGGAGCGAAGATTGTAAGCTAGACATGATAATAATACTGCACGCTGTCTCACTGGAAAAGATACCGCGGCGTGTTCGTCTCTTGTTACAATAAATTAGAGAGGCATTTCCTCCTGCTTTTAAAAGCCATGTTAACGTAATTTAATAAGACATCCTATGCTGCCACGTAATGGGAACGTTAGCTCATAATACTACACTTCTTAATATGAACTTCAAAGATTATAACGTGCTTGTAATTTCGTCATATCCTCCGTGTATTTCAACAAACGATAGTAAACGGCCCCTATGTGGTCTTGACTTGATATTTCTCGTGTAGATCTTTAGCTCGTCACGAATCAAGTTGAGCTCAGACGTTTCACAGGCTGTGCATTGATATTGTCCTCGGTAAGACAAACGAGAAACAATGCAATTATCAGCCGTCTACCTGACTGTGCTTCCGAACATCTGTCTTGTCTGAATCATATCTTGTGGTAAAAAGAAACTGATTCTTAGCCACCACATTTTTCATTTCCCTTAAAGTCCCCAGTTTTTTACTGGCCTCATATTCTAAATGGGACTACCAAGCTTACATTAAGTACAGCTGCAAAGCATTCAATCATTGGAAGTCACAATCATAATCAAATTTGATACTGCAGGAAAATGAGTGTTTCATTGTGGGCTAATGTTATGAAGAACGCGTAGTTGCTGCCCCAAAATGCTCGCTGCTTGGTAGTTGCAAGAGAATCATCTGAGCCTGTGAAATTGTACCTTGTTCGAGCATTATTATCGGCAATAACATCTGTTCCGAACAGAGTTGGTATTACTGCAAAGCTACGAATGGTGGAACTGAGCACATCTTTGCATGCACATCGGTATATGGCCTACTTGATACCACTGAACTAGAATTTTTTTTTCTTTCCGTGCCTTACATATCAAGTGTGCAAATCTGCAGTAGTAAGATGTAAATATATGCAAGATTTAATGCTGCTGTCAAAGTAACGTAGTTATGGAAATAGGCAATTTACCGAATATGTGCCGAGTTAAAATGGAGGCTTAAGTTGTCTAATCATAACCTAATCCTCAGGCATCAAACTACAGACAACGTTCATTTCGTATCGCAGATCCTATTGAAGAGCTATTAACTAGATTTTGTCGTTGTTGGCACCCTAAGTTGAACTTGGTTGATCGATTTCTAAATTACGTTAATGAAATTGAACTTTATGGACCTTGCTTTTTGTAATTAACTCATGTTAAAGCTTGGAGACTATTATCGGGAAATTATGATATATATTCGAGTGAATATCTACATATGGGGACTTTGTGTGATGTTTGGAATAATAAAGCTGTAACTTTTGAAAGGAAATCTATATATCAGGCAATATGTTACAAATGGAAATGAAACTCATTTGGCAGGCGTTTTACAGTAAAACAATACGTCTTTGTTCATTCTGAGTTGATTTAAAATAACATTATCAGATTTACGTCCTCTCTACTGCGATGTAAAAACGCCCTGTCATTCGTGCCATTTACTTCCACTAGCCTCTTATTCTATGTTATCGTATAAGATCTATTCTACACTGACACCACAAATAGATAAATAAAGACAATAAATAATAAAACACTAAATCTATAAATGTAAATTCTGTATAATTAACATGATGCATCTACCAGGGTGTGTGGTTTTCACAAAGGTTGATGTGCTAGCTCCGTTAGTTCAAAACATAAGCACAATGTTAAATATTTTAGAGATTTTGTTAAACGAGTGGCAATTTGCCCAGCGACGACTGTAGTAGCTAGAGCTGTTTTAGTTTCGTCTCAAAAGGTCAACATGTATTTGTTCGAGGTTTTTACAAAAATTTGTGACAGAAAAGAAGGGAAGTACTCGTTAGTTTGATACCACGGCAACCAATATAAGCACAGACCAACAAACCCATTACTGGGTGGACATTCTGCGTGTACATTGTATTCCGTCTAAAGAAACTTGTAGTTAACTATTATATATTATGTATAGTATGATTATTAACTACAATTGTGAACATACGGGAAAAAATATACAATCTAGAAAGGATTTTATTCTAGGACATGACCGTCATTATCTTGTGCCGCTGTTTTGTTTCCTGGAAAGTTATTAGTTTGTGTATATGTAATACATTATATAGACAGAATATAAGACTCTCACGCTAAAAGAACAAAGGGTGTTTTTGTTTTATTTGTGGTGTCTTAAAAATAAAAAGGAATCTGTCAGTATTTTGTCCGCAATGAATCAATTTTTTTTTAAATAAAGCATGATAATGTAACAACTTTTGATATTGTGATTCTTCACTTTATAACCACGGAGGTTCTGGCTGAAGTGATCACTGAATCAAAAGGTTTTTGAATATAATCATCTCTTCGGGCTCAAGAAAAGAGGAAAAAACAACCATTCTGACGAATTTCAAAGGGAATTGAAGCCATCAAAAAGCGCAAACATATTGATCGAAGATTGACAACCCATAATGTGGTAAGTAAATGCCGAATGTCCAAATAATAATAAATAATTTATATTTGTGTCTGTATTATCTTTGCAAAAAGCTAAACACCCACCGCTCGCCAAGCCCATAAAGTGACCAAAAATCGCAAGCCCAGCCAATATAAGGGCTGTCAAAAAGTTAAGCCGCAGGCTATTTTCGCTAATTAAGCATTTGGCAATGTAACTGTAAGTTTAATGTTTATTTTTGTCTAAAGCGTTTATGCGCTCTGACATATTTGACTTGCCACTTCTTCCTTGTATGATATAAGAAAATGTATATAATGCACTGTAATGTAATCGGGTCCTTAGAGATTCTGTTTGCGATCACTTTGTCATTGATTATTTGGCCTAAGAATTACTTAAAATGCTTCAAATTCGTACAGTTTAGTAAGTGCTGTGTTTGAATCATATATGACAACATCATCTATAGAGAGGAAATATTTACCATACAATTAGTAAATGGCAATTGACAGATTATTTACTCGGTGTTTCAATAAAACTTTCACTGTTCATATAACAAATATTTGTCAACGGCTAAACTGGTTCCCACTGTTTGCCGTCGCTGGAGTTCTATGTTTGATACAGCCAAAGGTGGGGCACAAGTTAACATTTGGTTAATTTCCGAAGCATGGGCTCCTGGCTACAAAGACGATTACCCATTTTAAAAAAAATAACGAAGAAATGACATCGACTGAAAGGGGTCAGTGTTCTTTGCCTTGAATGGCCTGGGTGTCTGAACATCAGTATATTGAACTGTTGTCATAGCAGACGGGATGGCGGAAAGGAAATGACAACGATCAGTAGCGGGATATAGAACTACAACTCACTGCAGATAAATAGCCACACCAATGATAATAGGAACGTAAACCTCCGTTCACTGTTAGACGCAGCTATATACGATAAAACAGTATATTACCTGGGTACATTGTGATAAGTATGAAGGGTTTATATGAAGATACCACTGCTGCACTGTTGAGATAAGTAAAATCCATTGCTCTTTACTCCCTAGGTCATTGTGTTCAAATCAATTCAGTTTAGTTTCAAATCAGCACCTGCTGCGACATCGCTTCAGCTGTTTCATATGGGACTTATACATTACTGGGAAGAATAAATGAAATAAGCAGAAGAATGAAGCATGCTTAAAACCAGTGAGGAGTTGAGGTTTCCAGTCGAGGCCGCGGAAGGACTTCTTCATCTAATTAGGTTAGTGCGAGGAAGTGCATTTTGATATACCCGATTCCGATGCTTAAGTTTTATTAGGAAATCACTACGACAATAACATAATGGAACAGCCAGATGACGCAGTTGCAGAGGTCAAAGCGAAAAGGGAACACACATTCCGTAGTAGAATGCACGAACGAACTCTCACTAATTTGACAACTAGTCGAATAACACCAATAAAACGGCCAGAAATACCAGCCCACACATACAACGGTGTGCCCCCACCCGACTCCCCCGATGTTGCAATTAGTGACCAAGAAATGCTACAGTTTATGTACTCCGAGGCATCTTTTGATCTCATAAGAAATGACACTGGTGACGCACTGGATGGGAAGAAAGAGACTGAGATCGAAACAAAATTTGAGGAAGATTATGAGTACGATACCGATTTGGAGACGCCAGGTAAAATTTCCCTCCAAATGATCTTGATACCGTACCTGATAACACCGGACTCACGTTCCCTTTTTTTTTAAATCATAATAACATTAAAATGTCAAGAAGGTTTAAATTATGGTGTAGACAATTTTAGTGTAATTTGGTGATACAGTACAGTTTGACTGTATTTGAATAGTAACAGTATTACTGAAACAATGTTTAAAGCCAATAAAACACAAAAGTACATGGATCTCGTATGCCGTTCTTCTGCTTGAAAAAAAAAATTCATCTTTGTAAGATGCAAACTAATTACTTTGATTTATGACATGATTTATTGCCTCTGAAACAAGTAAAACGTATGATAGATGGACTGTGGAATGTTACAAAGTGGGTTTTTGAAAGGGTTTTGAATAACCTCAAGAGTGTTACAATTTAACACGGGCTAGCATTTTCTGCATCAAAACCATAGCCTCGGTTGGTTGTTAATGAAGTAAGCACAGATTTTTATCAATGATTGATTGATGCTGTCGACTTAATTGGTTTAACAATTAAATGACATTAATATTGATTCCTTTCAGATTCTAGGTGCGAGAGCACTTTCGATCAGTGGGGGAAAGCCACGTATCTTGCTGCATGTAAGAGATTGCGTGTGGTGCCAGTGCAGAGCGTTCTGAGTCACCTTGAAGCCACGGAATTAGTGGTAAAACATCGGACGCTTAGCGAAAAGGAAGCAAAAGCGATCGCTGAAGCCCTTCTGGTAGGGATAAGGTCATTTTTTTTACATGTGTATAAGGTAAACTGTGATGAAATTTTAAAATAAAGAAAAGCGGCGATCGTTTACCATTTAAGTCCTTGAGAGCATTGTTTTTGTAAATATTTGAAAACCCCCCTAGTTTGACATATGGGGTGCTTTTTGCTGTGTTCATGTGTAGTGATTATCGGTGTGGGCTGTTCTCCTTCATATTATATATTATTTAATATTATAAAAATTACCTTTAAATTAAACATAAAATATATACTTAGAGAACGAAAATGATTTAAAAGGCAGATTTTCCTATTCGATAAATTTGATTTTTAAAACACAAGTTTATCAGTATACTTCTGTTAAAATCAATAAAATACATCTTATTACTCTAGAAACCTCTTTAAGCATGAACACGTAAATTTCACACTGAACTTGCATACTATTAATAACATAACTCACAATACAAGTGAAAATAGAATGCTTTTAATACTTACGTCATCCATTAACGACATTAAGGCAAATAAATTCTCCTTTGTGTTTTCAGTTTACAGAACACCAAGATTACTCAAAACTCACATATTCTATTATATCTTATCCCATAATATTTGTATTTCGCTTCAATGTACCTACGCAGCAAACTAAGGTTCCTTATGTTGGTATGCTATTACTGAATGTCTCATTCATCGCTTCTTTGAAGGGTCGTTCCAAGTTTAGAGCAAAGCTTAATATTTATATTCATATAAGCAAATATGATAAGTGGTTAAAGAGAAATTCACGACAGATCTTTGCACTGTTATATAAGACTGGGTTCCCATACATGTACCTAGATCGATCTAAGAGGGTCGATCCATCTCCAAGGGGATTCTCGCTAAATTGCTTTCAGCTTAAGCGGCTTAGATTTATGGCACGCCTACTGAAGCTGCTAAACGATAATTAATTACCCCATAGTAGCTTCAGTAGGCGTGACAGGCATCTAAGCCTCTTAAGTTGATTGTAATTTAGCGAGAATCCCCTCGGAGATAAATAGATCCCCAGTTAGTACGATGGGGTCTGGGAATGGTCCCTAAATCTAATTTGATCGTGACATTGTACCCCTTTCAATGGCTTATGTTTAAACATAGGAACCTTCCTGTCCTCCTGAATCTGGCTTAAGTTATATTCCTTATATGAAATTAAACATTTTTTGAAACTGCATAGTTAAATTTTTGTCTTAATCTTCATCAGGTGAATACCACGGTGACCCACCTGGACCTTAGCGGGAACAACCTCAGTGCTGGCGGCCTCGCTCACCTGGCACCGATGTTACGCGAAAATCTGAATATCAGATCATTGGTAGGTGAGATTGTATTGGTTCACAACAACCAATGGTACCCGTATGCGAGCATGGGGGAGGGGGGGGGGGGGTACATTTTCCTTACCATTAACAAAACTAAAATTCATAGGAGGTGCGACGGAGCAAACATAATTGGCCATTTTTAATTCTGTTTAGCATCTAGGTGTCCTTTTTGGATTACATCTCCACCCGATTGACGGCAATAACATGCTTTGCTTTTTGGTGCATGTGCCTTTGAGTAAACATTACGCTAATGGCCTTGAAAAAGTCAGTAAAAATAATATATAACAGCTAAGTAGTCTATATATTAGGCCTACTACTAAGTCATATTTGGAAGTGACTTACGTCAGTTAAATCCGATTAACAGGTTATTTTCTTTCTTCAGAATCTCTCGGGTAATCTCTTTGGCACGGAAGGTCTTAAATCGCTGTCAATGGCACTTCTAGTCAATCAAAATATAACCGTTCTGAGCCTATCAGGTACGATCTGTATAGTCTTAGAAATTAAAAACAGTAACAGAAGCTGTGCCATATACATGTACTGATATTTTACAACTTGATTATAAAGATAATTTCAGATAATTTCGAGGCATATATGGAAGTAATTTGCACACATAAGAACAGTTAGGTAAATCACCTGAAGCGTGTATATTTACAATAGCCAAATGTTAACAGGCAAAGAAGTACCTGTAGGATCGATACTTCCCATGTATTAAACATATCAACATTCTGAACAACATGTTAACATAACACCTGTGTACTTTCCAGGGACGCATCTGGCAGACGAACATGCTACGTATATTGCAAATTTACTTCAGGTAAGATTTAATTTAATTTAATTTTTATTTTTTATTATATTTAATTTCTACGCGTTTAATTGATAATAATAATACCACAGTCATCTACCATTTTTGAACTCGTTTTATCCTCTTAGAATGTTCATAAACCAGAAACGTGCTCTATGCTATTTATGTACATTGATGGGCATGGTCTGCTATTTATGTACAAACTGGTCTCTTGTCATAAAAAATGCGCACTTATATATTTTTGTAGACAATATCATTTCGTAAATATTTTCTGTTGTGTGTTTGTTTGGAAATATAAGGGTCCTTCCACAAAAACGTGAACATTTGACTCAGGTCAGTGACGCACATATTTTGTAGTATTTACAAAATTTTCACTTGCCCCATATTTTAGCTGTTTTATACTATTGTGTCCTCCAACATGAAAAGATTTCTACAGTAATTTAAAAGTGGCGTAATATTGTCACGCAAATATTACAAAATGCGTTCATTTATTTAAGCGGAATGACACTTAAATATTACAACTGAGCAAAAATCAAACTTGTTTTTCTATCCCCAGGATGTAAAAACTCTTGTGGAGTTGGATCTGAGTCATAATAATATGGGTGAGAGCGCAGCAAATATAATAGGAGCTTCATTAGGTGAGTCGTACATGTTTGGATTTTGGAATAAACTGCTGCCGATAACCAGGTTAGGATAATTCTGACAAATTTGTCAGTGGTTCCATTTGTTATATTTAAGAAACATAAAGAACCGTTAATTGATTATAGGTTTGTAGGGCACGTTTTTCGGGGAATGTGAATAATAGTTTAACTTACATAGTCGTTTCTGTTTTGTTTTTAGCCAATAACGATGCACTGCGGATTTTGAATCTGGGATGGAACAACTTCAGGCCAAAGGGGAGTGCAGCAATATTTCAAGGGTTGACGGTTAGTAACTAACTAGTGTGTATGTCTTGATAAGATCACTGACGCCACATGTTTGTGTCTTTTTAATGCAGCAAAAAATTTACTGGCTAGAAAAAAGTATCTGTAGCAATATTTTAAACATATCTTCATATCTGTCTTCAAGTTATGCGTATATATTTTAAAACTTTAGAGTATATTAAAAAATATTTCTCGCACTCTCAGTTGCTCCTTTGGGCAATGTGAGAATACAGCATCACGGAATATGACACGCTTTATTTTTACATAGGATAACGTAATGTTGAAGACGTTCATATATTCAATGAATGGTGTGGCAGAGGCAGCCTCAGCTGTAGCAGCTACAATAAAACACAATGTGAGCCTAAAGGAACTCGACTTGACCAGTACGCGACTGTTTGATAATGGTGTGGTGAAGATATGTAAATCCTTAGAGAGTAACGAACACCTTGAAATTTTAAAGGTATGTAGGCCTAATGTATGCATGTATTCATATATTCCTATATTAATATCCTACCTGAAACGTAAAGTAACGGTACCATTTTTTTCATCTATTCATCTACCATGAGGGTACTGTTTATTACAAGAAATATTTGGACTGGAGAAACGGAGTAGGATTTTCAGCAAGGAAACGCGGGATAGGATGAAGACTACAGTTCAGCGGACACGCACATTTTGGCTGTAGACCTATGAAAATAAATAAATCAGCAATGCACATATACTGCATTATCCCCGTCACTTACTCCATAAAAATATGCAATTGAAGATTAAGCTGGGGGATGGCACCATGGATTTCCTCTCCTTTCTAGAGGGGGGGGGGGCACACTCTATATGAACTTCAAAATATCCCAAATTGTACTTTCCAAGAAAGACCAATCATTCCGGCTTTAATCTATTAATCACATATTTCTCTATTTTTATTATTCACATATGTATGTTTTTTTTAAATTTGCTTGTAGATGGGCTACAACACGATCACAACCCTTGGTGGACTAGCAGTGCTTAAAGCACTTTTGAAGAACGAACATAGTGCCTTGAAATGCGTCGATTTATCCGTAAGTAGATAACTTTCACGTCGCGTCTGTACAATACTGACTTTAATGTTATGTCTTTTCTTTTACGCTATAGTTAAATTATAATAAGACTAGAATATAAGGGAAACTAAATACATATTGATTTATTTACCTATTGTAAGAAGGTGAGTGCGATGTATAGGCCTATGTGCTAGTTACTAGGCCTAGTGTGTGTCAGTTAAAGACATTTGAAGAGGGTCATGTCTTGTATGTTTTTGTTAAAGTGTTCACGTATTGTTTTAGCGTGTATACGTTCACAAAGACTGCATCATGATGGTGGAGAAGATCAGGGAGACAAACCCAAGCTTCCAGTTCAAAATTGATGGAATACTTAAGTCGGACCGTTACTATGGTGATGGATCGGTTTATTTTTTGTAACTTGAATTCTTCTTAACCTTGCATTATTGCACAAGAGCATATATATTGTTCATTTACAAGTCATCAAAAGATACATCACACGTTAAATGTTATGGCACCGGTCCACGTTGTGCAACGAACTGGCTAATAATTTTTTTTCCTTTTCGACAGGCGATGAGAAGAAAGGTCGTTCTCAGCCCATCATTTCGTCCAGCCCAATCGATATTCTACGATGGTTTATGGAGTCAAAAAGCTTTCGCCTCATAGATTTATTTAAACACCTAGATAAAGACGGGAGCATGTCAGTTACCAGGGAGGAATTCATCATGGGGTTAAAGGTATTTGCCTGCATGTGCATAAATATATATTTATCGATAGTGATTTGGTCGATTTAAGAATTTTGTCGAGAACCATTGCACAATGTAGTCATATATAGATGTGCTTTCTTCAGTGCTCTCACAGTCAAAACACTATTTATAATCCCCAAGAACAACTGAATCCTTGCATTGTGAATTAGCTGATCGGTTTGGCAATCTGTGTGTCTTTGGTTAAAGCCGTGAAGCTAGCCTCGGACTGCACGTATTCATTATCAGAATCTTGATTGGATATAAATTGCAGGCGGTAGACGTTCCCATGACGACAGCTCAGCTGGACGAACTTGTCAATATGCTGGATAAGGATAAAGATGGCGAAGTCGACTTCAAGTAAGGGTTTTACTTCCTATTAACTGCAATTGATGATGGACTTAAAGAGAGTGAACATTTGTACAGAAAATTCATTACTTATATTGGACTTTGATAGAATAGAAATGTTATTAAAGATCTTGAATTGCAAGTTACGGCAGTTGCTGTTGAGGAAAATAGGGGCCTAAGAGTGCTCAGTCATTTCAACAAAACGTACTTTTGATCATTGGGGATATTCATTAGTTGAATTTGACTTTGATAGAATAGAAATGCCGTCAAAGATCTTGAATTGTAAGTTACAGTAGCTGTTGTTGGAGAAAACAAGAGAGCCCAATCAATATTTCTTATACTTAATATCATGTGCCCCAACACGACCTTTTGAAAAACCTGTGAGGATAATTTCATATTTTACAGGGAACTTATTGATGGGCAGAAGGAAGGACGCAGGCAAGGGAGGAAAAACTAGACAACCCCCCCCCTCCGTGGTTCGATTACAATGCACTACGCATATATGATACCCGACCGTTGAGAAAATGTCTGTACAACATTGGCAATGATACGACTATACATCTGTTCATACCTAGTCTATACAAATGCTGTGATAATGTTTTTAAACCATTGTGCCATAATGAGTCTGAGAAATAGCAATAATTAACGCGAGGTACATGCAATATAATTAAAAGATATTTATTAGAATAACCTGCCTTTATTCAGTGCATTGTTATTATAAACGCATAATCTTTGCTTTATTGAATTCAATTTAATAATATTTTGCTTACATTTTCAAAATTGTTCATATTCTTTTATTGGATAATATCATTAAATGATTTAAAACTAAAGAAAACAGACACAACGAAACTGTACATAGTGCTAATAAATAACTAAATAAATACATAATATATATTTCGATATTTCTGTGACTGTCAGTCACCGGCATCAGGGAGTAATACCCACATATTTTATTAGCTCTTGATAAAAAAGAAAAACAATAATTTTAATTTATACATACAGAGCTAATGAATTTGTTCTCTCATAATATAAATTGTTATATACTTTATTATTTTTCTTTCTTTTTTTGCCCTTTTCTGTATATACTGCCCTAGTTAATATTTATTTTCATCGTGTATTTTTAAGGAGAGCATGCAATACCTCCTTTTTCTCTTTTTTGAATAAACCTTCTTTGAAAAAATTAATGATTGAAAAAATTATTTAAAACAGAGTTATGCTTCAGTCTTTTTTTAAAAAAGTTCATTATACATGGATGCTGGTCTCTTAATATACGTTTTCACTATGTTTAGTCATCCTTCGGATCCATCACCCTCTTGATTCCATTCCTGATTATGAGTGTGGGAACAGTTTAATCTCTCTCTCTGTTTTCTGCTTTTCCAATCACAGAGGCTCAGGCACCGAGATAGACTTTCGCACTTTTATCACATGAAATATGTATAAATCAGCAGAGGAGCAAATTGATTTTTAAATTAAAGCACTCGCACACAGGAATAGTAAAAGTAAAAATGAGAAAATTATATTATACTGCGGCAATAAATATCATTTGTTAAGATCCAACGTTTCTTAAGTCGCGGAAACTTATTGATATGATATACCCATGTTTATATAATAATGTTTTCAGAATTATAAAGAACAGTACAATTTTTTTGAATTGTTGGTTTGCTCCTTTATTTCGGAGCAAACCAACAATGTGCGTGTACACAAAATAAAAGTGTGCAATATTTAAAGAGAAAAGAGAACATTGATGTATATACCTGAGAAATGGGTCAAACGTTGTCCCCTGCTAATATAATAAAATCAGACTAATGATAACACGAGACGTTGATTTACTGATATGATATTTATCTCAAATAGAATCTGATACAATCTGATCCGGAGACAATCGTGATTAAATATGTCAAATTGTTACTGCCAGCAATGTTACATCAGGTGTATATATGCGGGAATCAAGGGTTGTGCGTTAGTGTAGACTTAACCATAGCGGACTTTGGTTCGTGGGAACAGGTGAGTGAACGTTTATGATATTTTATAATTTTATGTTCGCGTTAATACATACAGTGTCTTAATTAAGAATTTGTGATCATTTTGAATTTTTGGAGTTGGAATTTTCCTTTGATGGTTTGAAGAGTTGGGTTTTTATTTTGTGACTGTGAAAGTAAACTCTTCTATCTTGTATGACGAGTGTATTCAGTCTGTTTCCAATTTACTTAGAGAAGTGTGTATACTTAGGCAATTAGCTTTAAAACTTTACTCTGGATTTTTTTTAATGAACTAAAGCATTTTGGCGTTCATTTGAGGAGAATGGGACAAAAGCACATACAAGTTTTATGCATTTATCTTCCTTGAATTTTTCTCCTCACATCTTACATGCAGAATTAAAATAGAAATAATCAAAATACCCCTCTGTTTCATTTATTTTAATTTCACCAGGATGGCACCTTTTTTGGATATTCTAAGCAAGGCTGTGTCCGGTTTACGCCGTGACGACGACTTCTACGACCGTCTCAGCCATCGCTACACCGCCTTGTTTCTGATGGTGTTCGCAGTCCTGGTCAGCACACAGCAATATGTCGGCTCGCCAATCATCTGCTGGACGCCGGCCAACTTTATATCGAATTACGTCTCCTACACCAACAACTACTGCTGGATATCAAACACGTACTACATGCCATTTGAGGAGCGGATACCAAATCACGAACTCCCCCGACCTCACATCGGGTACTACCAGTGGGTACCCATTATGATGCTTCTCCAGTCCCTTCTCTTTTACATTCCCACCGTGGTGTGGCGCCTTATGAGTGGCAGCACTGGGATTGATATGAACACCATCACCAAGGCCATCGTAGGACGGGAGTATCTGAATCCGGACAAAAGAGATGAGGCTATAAAGTATCTTGTACGGCACATGGACAGGTATTTTGGGTCCAATAAGCCCCAGGATAAAGAATGCTGCAGTGGAGGAATACGTGGCCTGATTTCTAACGTACTTATGTGTTGCAAGATTGGAAAACGACACGGGAATTTTCTGATATTTCTCTATATGATCACCAAAGTTTTGTACGTCACCAATGCCATTGCCCAGTTGTTCCTGCTGAATGCTTTCCTGGGAACGACGTTTCATCTGTACGGATTCGATGTTATACGCGACCTGGCTTTGAATAACGACTGGCATGTTTCCGGGCGGTTTCCGCGAGTCACCCTCTGCGACTTCAAGATTCGTCAGCTCGGCGGCAACATTCATCGTCACACGGTGCAGTGTGCTTTACCGATCAACATGTTCAATGAGAAAATCTACATTTTCATCTGGTTTTGGCTCGTGTTTGTTTGCATCGCAACAGTTTTCGGGTTCCTAACTTGGATCAGTGTGTTTTTCACTAACGAACGGAAGCAATTTGTGATGAAAAATCTTCTGTTGAAGAACAGAATTATGGGCACAGAAGATGACAGGCAGCTTTGCAAAGCTTTTATTCACGATTATCTACGTCAAGACGGCGTATGGGCACTGAAGTTACTAAACAGAAACTCAAACGACGTGATAGTGGCTGAGTTTACAGCTGAACTATGGGATTTATATCGTAAAAAGAATAGCCTAGGTGCAGAGCCCGAAAACGAAAAAGAAGAGACAAATTTATAATCTTACAAATTGCATTAGGTGTGCCCATGCGGATGCGCAATACACCCAATCGCAGTTGGTGCGATTGTGAGGTTGATTGAACCCAATGCTGCCCCTGCGCCCAGTATCGCTGCAATTGTATACAACAGACTGGAGAAACATCGTGACTCTAATGATATTGTGACGAAATTATTATAGTGACTTATTTTGCTCTCTAAGAACATATGCACAGCTTTGACTGCTTTTTGCAATTTTTGGTAAGAACATTCACAGAAGAACTTTTAGCATCAATTCATTTTTTATCGACAAAGAATGGACTTACTTTTGGGGCTTTCTTAACCACCAAGAAATAGATTTTTTAAAAAGGAGTGTAAAGTTTGTAAAAATTAAATGTCAATTAAGCACTCTTTGTCTTCAAGCGGGCTATATTTACCGAGAAAAGTTCGAAAGATGAAAGTTAAAGAAAATCATCTTTTTGTCTGACATTAAGCATGGACCTAACTAGTTAGGTCCATGCATTAAGGAATTTTATAGGGGTCGTTCGCTTGATCCTACCTGAACCAGCAGAAATGACAAATCTGGCTTTTTTATTTTACCGTAAGTATAATTTTCACCCAACCTGATGTAAAAGTGTTTTTTTTTTAATCTAACACCGCAAAGACCAAAATTCTGACAAACTCCTGACAATCTAAAATGGATGACCCAAGTAAATTTAATCTAAAATAAATGCATAAACGTGAAAGGTATAGGGGCCTACATAATAAATAGTCCCTTAAACTATATTTCCCAAGGATTAACTGCTCGCTTCCGCTCGTGATTCACGTGGATCTTATCGACGTTTAGGGGTGGTGCAATCTGGTGCAGGACAAACAAATAAGACGCTAGTCATGCTAAGGTTAGATAATACAAGGGTGCGTGAGAAAGACAGTGTGTGTGTGTGTGTGTGTGTGTGTGTGTATGTGTGCAGAGAGAGAGAGAGAGAGAGAGAGAGAGAGAGAGAGATGGTTTATGAAACGATTTTTTCTTGGCTTATTTACAGAATATATGAATAAAACCACACGTATCTGTTGCTTCTATCATACAGCCAATCAAAATCTTATTTTATTTGCCTTACAATACCAGTCATGACTTTTAATATAAAATGGATAAATTGACTCAGTGAGGATATCTCGTTAAAATCCCATCCAATATATTACACCAGGTAATCTTTCACGTCACCATGGAATTGTTATTAATAGTGCTATACACAAATATCACTCTACTCTTTCTTACGTATGGCATGCCTGTGTCTCATGTTTGGAATATCAACCAGAACTAACAACCAGAACTAATGCCATATATATATATAGCAATTTCAAGGGGGAGTCTTTTTCCGAAAAAGTGGACCTTTGTGTGCCTAAATCAAATTTTACCCAGAATGGACCTTTTCCTGACAAAAAGGTTGGTTCTTTCGAACCCCCGAACTCCCCCCCCCCCTTGGCTACGGGCCTGACATATATAACTCTACTGATATATAGCAATATATATAGCAATAACTATAACCAGCTGCATATTAATTATATGACAGTGCTTAACATCCCATTTCCATAGATTAGATCGACCTACTTTAGATCGACCTAACTCCCTGGGGGTTCACGCTAAATAGCTGTCAGCCGGGCGGACACGAAAGTTAATTACCCCCTCACAGCTTGTAGTAGGCGGGACGGACATTTAAGTCGGATTATCTGCAAGTAATCTAGTGAGGCTCCCCGCGGGGATAGATCGATCTAAAATCTATGGGAATAGAGCCTAAGACAGCAATATCAGAACTAAGTGTCATCATAAGCTGGTTCACAAAAGAGGTGAGCTTTAGACGGTTTACACTCTCTCTTTTCCTAAAAATCTAATGTAAACGATGATTTATTGGTAAAATAGCAAACTTTTCGTAAAACATGTAAACTACTACTATATACATATAACAGCATATGTATCTTATCAGCGCTACACATGTTAAACCGTGCCTATTTCACAAACACTTGACGAATCTTCATTTTGAGGCACTTCATCTATTAATCGAGAGCACTTGATCGCTGAACTTTGCAAGGCGATAATTTGACAATAAAACTGTAGACCGTCGTTGATAGGATAACCATTGTGAAGATTTACTGCAATGAAATGTGTTTGCCTCTCACATCTTTATCTCTTGAGGTATACTAAACGGACGGGGCGATTTTCGCTGCAGAATATTTGACTACTTTTAATCCAGATATATGTACCTGGACATCAAACTTTTTATGAACTGTTTGTTAATATGAAAATGTTCTAAAAACAAACTTCAGGGCAAATGCATAAACTCCAACGTGAGTGTACAATCAAGGCGACACAGAACTAAATTACCTATTGCTACACTTATTGTCCGCATTCATGCGTATGAGTTTCCGTCGGGGTCCTTAAAGTCTGCTTTAAACTCGGTATTTTCTAACATTGGCTGTCCAACCTCAGGGTTTTCTCCCAGCATGCCTTTGTTTTCAGGCTTGTTCTTGTAGAAGTCCCAAAGTTCAGCCACAAACTCTGACACAATGACGTCATTTGTATTTCGCTGGATGAGTTTACATACAAACACGCCATCGACTTTCAGATACTCTGTAACAAACTTTTTAAACCTGTCTTTGTCCTTCGTGTTATAGTCCCCCATAAGTTTTAAGTTTTTCTTTATGTATTCTTTTCGCTCTCCGACAAAGAAAACTGCCAACCAGGTAAGAAAGCCAAACACCGTGACTGCCGATACGAAAATTAACCAAAACCAAATGAACAGGTATATTTTCTCGTTAAAAAGGTTGATGGGGAGAACACATTGGATTGTCCAGCGATGAATGTTCCCTCCGAGCTGTCGCATTTTGAAGTCGCAGAGAGTAACACGGGGAAATCGGCCAGACGTGGTCCAGTCCTGCTCGTCCATAAAATTGCGAAGAAATTCAAACCCAAAGAGATGAAATTTAGTCCCAAGGAAAGTGTTGAGCAGGAAAAGCTGACCAATGGAATTTGCCACGTACAAAGCTTTCACCCACATGAAAAGAAAAATCAGATAGTTGCCAAATCTTTTCCCTACCCCACAACATATGAGCATATTAGTTATGATGGTTCTCAAACTGCCAAAGCATTCGCGATCTCTGTCTTTCTTGTGACCGAAGTAACGGTCCATATGGCGTACTAGGTATTTGATTACCGTGGCTCTCTTCTCTGGATCAAGGTAATCAAGACCGCTGACACCTTTGACAATGGCATGGACGTCTATTCCCGTGGCACCGCTCATCAGCCGCCAGAAAACGACGGGGAAATAGAAGAGAAGAGCCTGCAGCAGCATGACGATAGGGACCCACTGGTAGTATCCGATGTGTGGCCTGGGTAGATCCGCGCCCGGAATACGTTCCTCGAACGGGATATAATACGTGTTTTTGATCCAACAGTAGTTGTTGGCGTACGATTTGTGAGAGTCTTTGAATTCTCCCGGCATCCAGCAGTGAATAGGGTCACCCACATAGCTGGCGGACATGACCACGACGGCGAAAACTATGAAGATGATTGCTGTGTAGCGATGGTTGAGGCGGTTAGCAAAGTCGTCATCTTGTCGAATCCCTTTCCAGGTTTTTCCTAGAATATCTAGAAAGGGTGCCATGCTGAAAAAAGGGCAAAACGGTTAATTAAATTAAAACTTAATTGCATGCCTTTAATTAATTTGCATGCTTTCAATGCAGAAATGTTTTAAATTTCATTACTAGATTCGCGTTTTTTAATCAAAGACATTCAGAATAACAACTGTTTTAATCGTGGCGAAAAAAAGCAGAATGAAAAGGGTTTTTTTATTTAGAAAATGATGACCTAAAATTAGAGCGGTTTTATACCGATTTAACTGTCCATTTGAACAGTGTAACGTTAGGCCTATTTTGTTCTCACTGCACCTGTGTAAAATTTCACATTCCACTTTAAAAATTAAAAAAAATAGATTATGAGTTAAAATTCTTATCGGACAACTTGTTGGCCGCTGAAGGATACAAATGGCTAAAAGAAATATATTTGATTCTTAGCAGAGTCGAGTGAGTCACACTTCACAAGTGTCAAAGCATCAAATTTAATATTAATGACTTTTTTATTTGTGAAAATGCCACTGAGTATTATTTCTAAGTGGTGCACCCCAAAAACTAAAATCCACAAAACCTCTTTGAGATAAATCTTTTCCTAAAAATTTCCCGAAAATTTAACATGCCTCTCTAACTACTAGGACTCATTCAGCTAGATAAAACCACTAGAGCGTTTGGGTTGAAATAATCATCATGGACCTTGATCAGCCATGCTAAGTCGGTGTATGCCAACTTTTCTTTATCTTCAAACACGTATATTACGCTAATTAACATATACACAATAAACAATTATAAACAATATACTGCTTCATATATTCGTCATGAAGACAAAACTAGTCTTACCTGAGGGCTTCCTGGACGGATGTTTTTAATTTTACAGTTAGATTCTTCTCTGATCAGTGACGCTAAATTCGGACGGGGACGACCTTATCACGCAGGTAAACTGTTGCGCGTTAACTGACCCAGATTGGTGGTACCATTCCCAGACCCTATCGTACTAACTTTGGATCGAACTCCCAGGGGATTTTCGCTTAATTGCAATTAACTTATGCGGCTTAGACGTCTGTCACGCCTACTGAATCTGATAGGGGATAATTAATATCGCTTAGCAGCTTTAGTAGGCGTCCCAGACATTTAAGCCATTTAACCTGAAAGCAATTTAGCAAGAAACCCCGTGGAGATGGACCGATCCCGTTAGATCGATCTAGGAATGGGAACCCAGGCATTGGCTCACCTACCCAAGCGACGCTGTATGAGGGGGCAACAGCACTGATAATTTCTAGGTTGGGCGGTTAGGTTCGAGGTATTTGCACACTATGTTACGTAAAATTTTAGGGCTGATTAGAGTGCTAAAGAATGAGGGAAGGGGGGAGAGGTTTGAAACGAAAAATCAAGTTGTCACAGAGTTGGGGGGAAAGGGGTGCTGTTAACATATGTAAATTAATGTGTTTTACTAATTGTCGAAATATAATGCATCAAAAAATTATTTGGAACTGCAGGTGGTACAGAACCCTTGATGGTTTACAAAAAATATACTCATAAAATACTTCATTTCATCGGCCTTCCTTTCTTTTATAATATAAACGGACTGCCTCTCGCCAATAGGCGTATTGTGAAAAAAGTTCTTTGAGTATGCATCTGAAATCGAATTCCCTTCAAAAAGGTATATAAACGGATGTAACGATATCAAAAGGACTTCAAAAAGAAGTGTTTTTTCTAACAAGTTTTAGTTTTATATTTTGGTCAAATTTGTCTGGGCTTTCCAATGAAAAAAAAGGTACCAGGAACTAGATAACCATGTGTCAGGCGTACCAATGAGCACCTTGAAGACTGTTTTCACACGGTTACCTCCCTCTTCTATACTTTCGAGCTACGAACAAATACTTGAATAAGAAGACGCTCCATTATCAGAGGAAGAATACAGCGTGGGTAAACTTCCATTTCACAGACACCAACGTATATTTGCATTGTGATAGCTAACAATCATTCCTTTCCTCACCTATGACGGGACTTTTTAAGAATAGGTGTGTTAGTCATTTTGGTGATGCGTTTGTCATTAGAGAGAAAGCATAATCACTGAAGATATATTTAGCTATCTCCTCTAGATATATGTGCAACATTGTTGTAGCTTTGGGGTCACGGTAAGAGACGGGGCGTGCTGAAAACAGGATAACATGAACCGTGCGTGCTGAAAACAGGATAATATGAACCGTGCGTGCTGAAAACAGGATAACATGAACCGTGCGTGCTGAAAACAGGATAACGTGTACCTAACGCTTGTTGTTTACCATCAAAGCTTTTTATCAGAATCCTTTTAAATTTTTTGCAGCCAGATGAGATCTTGGTCCCTCGCATAGCAGGTTTATCACCTATATAAGTTTTAAAACTTGTTTAAAAAACAACGGATTTCCCACGTAATTTTGATGTCACATTCTGTAAAATTCTATCCCTCTTTGATTTTAATCATGTTACGATACTTTTTGCTGGCAATGGCCTATTGCATATTTGATATGGAAAATATGTTTATTAGACTTTTCACACACACACACACACACACACACACACACACACACACACTATCAAGACGCGGTTTGGATGCTGGTAAAGGGGACATCTGCTGGTTCGGAATTTTATAACATATGTAACTTCCCGGCGTAAAATATTTCTTATGTATCACAATAAATTAGCCAAATCTTTTTTAATATGTACAGTTTGCTTTATTTACGAGTTCAGCTTACAAATACAGCTATTTGATAAAAAGCATTCATGAACACAACACGATATCAGACACGGTACATTGTAGCATGCAATACCCTTGTAATGTCTCACCTGTATAAACTCTCCTCAATAAAGATTGTTTCAGCAATATTGAGAATCTCTTGCTTGGTATTAAAAGTTTAAAGACAATTGTTCTTCTATTCTTTTTTTCAGAATCCAAAATTGAATTCTGTTTAAATGGGATTCCCCGACACATTCATAAATATGGAGAAAACCTAATGTTCGATATAAATAAAATAAATGACTCCCAGTCTACATGGATGACGTATAAATGATGTACAAATGAAAATAACATTGTTCATTTTATGCTTTTAAAAAAGTCAAATTTTGTTTTCTTAAAAAAAGTTTCAGGCCTTCTAAATTATTTGTAAAATGGTCTAAGAGTCAGTTAACAAGTTCTTACCTTCAACTTTTCAAAGTAAAACCTTGTCAATGTAGTATTTGATGCTATCACGTACGTCTAACAACGATTATCACGTCTTTCATAGAAATACCCTATGACCTGCCATCTTCACATTGTGATTGGTGGTTACATATCTACTTGAGGGGTTTTCCAGTTGTCATATATCAAAGAATAGAAGATGACGAGTCTTTTCTTTGAAAATGCACATTTATTTGTCAATTAATTTGCTACTGATACACATGTACACGTATCACGCTTATAAGAAATTATTTTCCATTTAAAATTAGCATGGAATTAGACCATCTTGGGGCATTAATTCACTATCTCCTAGTACATATTTATGTTGCTAAGTTAGTAACAACAATCAGTGTGTCACGTAGACTAGATATCAGATATACAACCCCCCCCCCCCGCTTTTCACTTCTTCCCTCCTTTTCTCACTTCCTCTCTTCCGTCTTACCTTTTACCTTTAGCTGAAAAAGTTTATTACACTCCTCTCTTGTAATGTTCCCACATCTCCGCAATTAGCTCTGAAATAAAGACATCATTGCTATTTCTACCGATTAACATAAGCACAAAAGACTGTGATACTTATGGATAAAATTGCTCAGGTCTCCTTTATCTGTTACGCCTATCTTCTTCGTCAATTTCACTTTGAAATGCTGCTATATACATTGTTGACTACTGTTAGAATACTGATTTAATATCAGTAGATACAATACGAATTTGTTATCAACACTTATGCATTGTTTGATAAAACATCAGGTAAGATACCGTCGCTATTTCTATTGCTAATATATCAATGAGATCATCAATGAGATCATTGAGCAGATTTATTACTTATGTAAGTTTTAAAATTTGTTGAAAATGTCACGTTCAGTAAAATTCTATCCCTTTTTGATTTTAATCATGTAATGGTACTTTTTGTTGGCAATAGCCTATTGCATACAGACTTTTCAGGTCAAATAATTAGATATACCCCCCCCCACCCCACCCCACGCACACACACACACACACACACACACACACACTGCGCTTTGGAGGCTGGTAAAGGGAGACAGCTGCTGGTTCGGAATTTTATAATATATGTAACTTCCTGTCGTAAAATATTTCTTATGTATTACAATGATTGAGCCAAATCTTTTTAAATGTACAATTTGCATTAATTTGCATTATTTACAAAAAGCTTTCATGAAGAATACACGATATCAATTTTCAATTTCAAGTTTTCAATTTATATCTGTACTGGTACATAGATTATTATGACCTTGTACAATATTATATACTAACGACAATACAATTGGTGTGTTACCATTTCTCTACACACGCTGGACAATAGAAGTGTCACCCCTACTGAACCAATACTTTGGGGGAGATAAATAACTGTGGAATGATATACTCCTGGTATCATTATTCATTTCAAATTTCACAAAAGGAACAGTTCTGACAGAACAATTCAACTGTATCGATATTCTGACATTGCTTATATTCCGCCTCTTCAGGTTAATAACTTTGATTACTCTGATTCAGGGGGTCTAGGGTGACACTTCCAATGTGTGTAGTTGGTAATTGTGTTGCCTGTGCCTGTTTGTGAGTGAAAAAAATATAAATATATATCTTTTATATAATGAACAGATGTACTAGGTAAATTATTGGTGAGATAAACCTTGGTGTAATTATAAATTTACCATAAACATAAAAGCGAGAGGCATATAGAAACAATTACATGTTACACAAAAGAAGTGATTCAAACTTTCAAGAGAGGGAGAAATACAATTACATAAGCAATGAATAAGTAAATAACACAGTTACACAGATATAAATACGGTGACTCTTGACCATGTGTCATGTTTAGTCCCACTGTCGATATCGGACACGGTACATTATAGCATGCAATGTCCTTGTAATGTCTCACATTGTATAAACTCTCCTAAATAAAGATTTCAGCAATATTGGGAATCTCTTGCTTGACATTAAAAGTTTAAAGACAAATGTTCTTCGATTCTTATTTTCAGAATCCTAAATTGAATTCTATTTAAGTATTATTCCCCGACACTTTCATTAATATGGAGAAAAACAAATGTAAATAAAACTAGAAAAGCACTCCGAGAGCGCAGACATCCGCCAAGGCAGCAGAGTCTCCGCCCAATGCCGTTTCACCCCTAAATTTTCACCTCCGCCAAGGAGGTTATGTTTTCACCCCTGTTTGTATGTCTGTTTGTTTGTCTGTCTGTCATCAACATAACTCAAAAAGTTATGGACCATTTTTGATGAAATTTTCAGGAATTGTCAGAAGTGGACCAAGGAAGAGATGATTAGTTTTGATGATGATCCGGATCAATAATCAATAAATAATCAATAATAATCAAATATTGCTGCCTTGGCGGAGATCTGCGCTATTGAAGTGCTTTTCTAGTCATTCTATAACGATTTAGTTTTTTATTATTGATTACTGATTAACTGAAAAACGGAATTTGCGATAAGATAATGATGTATAAATGGAATAACATTGTCTATTTTATGCTTTAAGAAGGTCATATTATGTTCTCTTAATAGTTTTTTCCAATTTGAATTTCTCCCACAGTGCTTTGGTCAAGTCTGTGACAGCAAAACTGTTAGTGTTCCGACTAATTAGTTTTAACACAAACACGCCATCTAAGCGAAGATACTTATCAATAAATTGTTTCAGATTTTCGGCATCGCCTTCGTTTAGTGTTCCTGTCAATTCTAACTGTTTTTTGACGAATTGCATGCGATCACTTTTGAAAAGCAGGTTTGCCCAAACCATGAAACCAAACACTGTAGCGGCTGATACGAATACCAACAAAAACCAGATGAAGATGTAAATTTTTTCGTTGAATAAATTGATGGGCAATAGACATTGAACAGTGTACCGATGAATGTTCCCACCGAGTCGACGAATATTTAAGTCGCATAAAGTGACCCTAGGAAATCTTCCGGACGATGTCCAGTCCAAGTTCTTGGTGAGGTCAGAGATGACGTCAAACCCGTAGAGGTGGTACGCGCTTCCAAGAAAGGCATTCAGCAAAAAGAATTGACCGATCGCATTGACAGCGTACAGAAACTTAATGAAAAAATAGACCCTGGTGATATAATTACTATGCCTATCACAGAAACATGCGCACCATTTCTTTGCAAAAAACTTATTACGAGCAGTGTCCAGTCTGCGCTGGTTAATTCGAAAGTATCGTGACAGGTGCTCCGCGGTGGACGCTGTAACTGCCTTTCTCTCCTCCTGATCAACCGAGTGCAGCCCATTCATGGAGGTAACAATCAGGTGAACGTCAATCCCCGTCCGAGGTGCCAACGATCGCCAAAATACACTTGGAAGATGGAACAAGAGAGCCTGAATGAGAAGAAAAATCGGGACCCATTGGTAATAACTCACGTGCTGGCGTGGCAGACTCGAGTCAGGTATACGCTCATTAAACGGAATATAATACGTGTTTTGAATCCAACAATAATTGTCCACATAATTCTTATGAGAATCTTCGAACTCTCCAGGCACCCAGCAGATGATGGCGTTCTTCATGATGCTCTCTTCGCCGGCGACAACTAACGCAAATATCAGAAGAGTAAGCGCCGTCCAGCGGTGACTGAGCCGGTCAAAGAAGTCGTCGTCACTTCGAAGATTTTTCCAAAAATTCCATATATAGTCTACGATTGCCATCATTCTGAAAACAACCATACACATATAATTTGTAGGACGATATCATATACCATCTGTGCATAAGATCCCCCAGCATAAAAAGTAATGAGTCTCTGACTATGATGTAAGCGTGGCAGAGAGATATCACATCTAATGAGTTTGCATAAAGGTAGCCTTCGGGTGTAGTCTGACACAATATCGACATCGAGCCTTCTAAATTATTTGTAAAATGGTCTAAAATCAGTAAACAAGTTCTTACCTTCAACTTTTTAAAGTAAAACCTTGTCAATGTAGTATTTGATGCTATCACGTACGTCTAACAACGATTATCACGTCTTTCATAGAAATACCCGATGACCTTCCATCTTCACATTGTGATTATCTGTTACTTATCTACTAAGGGACTTTCCAGTTGTCATATATGAAAGAATAGAAAATGACGAGGTTTTTCTTCGAAAATGCACCTTTATTAGTCATTAAATTTGCTAATGATACACGTATCACGCTTATAAGAAATTATTTTTCCATTTAAAATTAAAACAAAATTCGACTATTTTCGGACATTAATTCACTATCTCTTATTACGTATTTATATTGCAAAGTTAGTGACAACAATCAGTATATGTGTCTAGAACACTACATATCAGATATATTCCCTCCGTTTTTCACTCCTTCCCTCCTTTTCTCTCTTCCGTTTTACTTTCTACCATCAGCTGAAAAAAGTTAATTACACTCCTCTCTGTAATGTTCCCACATCTCCGCAATTAGCTCTGAAATAACGACATCATTGCTATTTCTCCCGATCAACATAAGCACAAAAACGCCGTCCAGACTGAGATACTTATGGACAAAAGTGCTCAGGTCTCTTTTATCTGTTACGTCTATCTTCTTCGAAAATTTCAATTTTCTTGTTATAAAACGTAGCCGTTCTCTGGGAAATACAACGCTCAGTGAAAGAAGGATTCCGAAAACATTAACGAATGACACAAACACCAACCAGAACCAGATGAATATGAAGAGGTTTTCGTTTAGAAGATTGGCGTACAGCACACACTGAACCGTGTGGCGGTGAATGTTGCCTCCAAGTTGACGAATTTTGAAATCACAAAGAGTTACTCTTGGAAATCGCCCTGTTTCACTCCAGTCTTTGCCGTCAATCAAATCACTGATAACGTTGAAACCATACACGGAATAGGTCGTACCAAGAAAATAATTCAGCAAGAAGAGTTGGCCAACTGAATTGCCAAGAAAGAGCATCTTGCACAGGAAAAATATTGGGACGAGGTAAGTGCCATGTTTCTTTCCCAGGCAAAGACCGTGTTGTACCATGCATGCCTGGCATTTATTTGGTTTCTCAGTTGATTGGATTCTCTGCCTTGAAAAGCTCTCGGTTTCGGTTGAATCGCAACTTTCTAGATGGTATTCTGACGGAGTCATGAGGCATGTAGAGTTTGTCCGTCTTTTGCGGGAACTGAAGCACCCAGCCAGATGTAGAGCAATAGGCTTTATAACCGCGTTCCTCTTTAGAGGGTCTAGGCACTCCTGTGTATTTAAGGTTTGTGCTATCATATGGATGTCAATCCCGGTAGTTTTACTAAGAAACCGCCAGAGATATCCGGGAATGCAGAACAATACGGCTTGAAACAGCAGAATATGAGGCACCCACTGGTAATAACCGATGTGCGCCCGAGGAAGTTCTGCCGACGGAATACGTTCCTCAAATGGCAAAAAGTATGTGTTCTTCACCCAGCAGTAGCGGTTGGCATAGACCGCATGCTCGTGCGTGAAAGTGGCCGGTACCCAGCACGAGACGGGGTCCGATACAATATACGTCACTATCAGGACCAACGCCGCTGACAGCATGAGGATCATCGCGGTATAGCGGTGGTTAACGCGATCGTAAGAATCGTAGGCTCTCCGGTTTTTCTTCCAAAACCTGTGTATTCCGTCAACGATTTCCTCAAAAGGCAGCATCTCTGCAATGAGATTTGAAAATTATTTTCATTCTTATTTCTGAATAATACTACTTCAATTCTAATGACAAAGAACCAAACGAAATTGATTCACCATATGAGGAATTACGAATTTAGTTCTATTTAAACATGCAGCTGTCCTCTTTAAACTCTCCCAGAATCCCCAAATTTCAACACAAGTTACTTTATGTACAACATACCTCCAGCTATAACACAGGTGAGCTTAGAAAAAAAAACACGAATTTTAATTCAACCCAAGGCAGTTCAACAATCCCACTGAACTCAGCAAACTAACTCAACTGTCCCCTTTCTAACACAAGAAAGTGAAACATCGTGGTGGTGACTCATATTTAGGGGGTTTTCAAGTTCTCATTTCATCATTGTTATTTTGGGGATGGCATACAAAAGAGGGTAGCATATCTACCGACGGCTAGGATCAACTTTTTATGAATAGAATGCGGGGATTTTTAATATCTAAAGTAAGTTAATGCTTTCTCAGTTATTATATACATCCTACATGTATTCTTAAACAGCCGCAAACTAACTCAACCGTTTAGATCGTCGCCGACGTTATTTCCGTTGACAATACCGATGGGAAACCCCCAAAACTTTTAAAGGTGACCCCCACTACTCGCATACCAACAAAACATGTATGTGGACGCTGCTATATACATTGTTGACTGCTGTTTGAATACTGACTTAATATTAATAAATACAATCTGAATTTGTTATCAACTCTTATGCATTGTTTGATCAAACATCAGGTAAGATATCGGCGCTATTTCTATTGTTACTATATCAATGAGATCAACAATGAAATCACTATCTGATGTATTTAAAAGGTATTCAATTCTATTAAACCGTGAAATTTTAGACTCTACAAATGTCTACGTTTACATACCTTCGGCTTTCTCACAGGAAAATGTACGATTATGAAAAGAGAAAACTTAAATATAATTCGAAACAAGGAAGTCGTTTAGTTCAAAATTCTTTTACAGTGAAGGAAGTCAGCCTCGTGATGGTGCCTCATATTTAGTTTCATTTCACCACGGGATTTAATGTTCTTGGTCTCATTTCATCATTGTTATTTTGGGGTTGGCAAAGATAAAGGAGTAGCTTATCTATATAGGCGGCTAAGATCCCCTTATTGTGTATGCAGGGACTTTTTAATACCCTAAGTGCTGACACTACAAGAGGGTAATGATTTCTCGGATATCACGAGTAATCCAGTTTTGTTTCTAAACACCCATAGGGACCGCCTAGAATTTAAACAAAAACGAACGTACATGCATGATACCACTGTAATCCGTTTTCTTTCAAAGGAATGCCCCAAAACGGATAAAGACGATCACCATTACTCCCCTACCAATAAAACTCATATGTTAATGCTGCTCTATAAAATTTTGCCATTTGTGTTGATACTGATTTGCTGTCTGTACATGTACATATAAAATTTGTATTTGTTATCTACTCGAATCCATGGTTTGATCAAACATTAAATAAGACACCATCGCTATTTCTACAGTAATGTCAGGCCTTTATGTCATATTTGTGTTCCTCTTATCAATGTTCTATATCAAAATAGGATCAAGTACAGGGCACTGATTGGCTTTGTCACCTTTCAAGTGTTTCTTCTTCAAGGTTTCGTGGGTTTTCGTGAATATCTTAGATCATCGGCATGTAACAAAAATTTGACAGAAATAAGCAACTACAACAATACAATAAGCGATTCTTTATTTGACCAGCTTCAACAATATAAATATGTTAAGAAATACAACTTTCAAAAACCAAGGCCTTGCTTAATAGTTTACCATTAGTATGCCCCTTTTTTCGTAATGATTTAAGAATAAAAATTAAAAATTAATGTACGATCGGCATTATTCAAATAGATTTCGTTAGCATAACATCTACTCTAGCCTATGTCTATATCTACATGTACAGACGCTGAATATTGAATAAGTCTTTTTACCCACATAGGCACAGGTTAACTAAAACAACATTAATACCAATACTAGAGACTGTTAGGTAATACTACTAAAATTAACGTCTGCCGATCCTCCCTCATCTTGCTCGAGAACCAACGCTATCCCTTAATAAAATTTGCTGATCAGGGCTCCGTAACTGAAAAGCATCTCGTATTGAGAATAGCGATATCACATAGAGGCTACAATGTAATATATGGGACGAGTATGGAATCGAGACGCTAGCTCTCGGTCGCAATGCGCGATGCTTTCGAGCTACGGAGCCCTGCTTACTGCGCTAACCGCTACACATCGGAGGTTACGCTAGGGTGCGCACAAACATTCTACTGCCCTGTGTTGTTTTCAATATATATTCACAGATATTTCTCTGGTTATTCACTGCCTGTGCAAATTACCGCACTGCCCAGCGAGAAATTTTTGCACAAAGATAGGGTCATCACCTAGCCAGTCCCTGGTACAGAGTTTTGAAATAATTAAGGTAACCCACTATTGCTGAAAAACAGCAAGGGTGTTTACTTATAATTTTTTAAAAGTTACATTTATGTAGAAAAACATTTAAAAATGGGTTGAGAGTGGCTCGGCCGTTTGTGTGAAAGGAAGCAACGAAGAAATATCAAGTCTGCATTTGCATCTTGCTAATTTCGACTTCGCTCATGAACAGAAAACACTTTAGAATCATTTTTCAGAGTAAAAGGTAAAAGTAGTGTGGACGGGTTGTAAAGTTATAAATGTTACTGGAATCTTGGGCTCCTACATGTGTATAACCTACATTCAAAAAACATATTCCCATGCACTTACTACCATGATATTACTGTTTGCTTATTGACAGACGCGATAAAAATATACATAATATACGTGTAATCAAAATATACAGATGTATTTACTAACTGACATTTTTCATTGTTTGAGAACAATGAGTAGTTAAGTTGTTGACAAACTCAGTTACAACCAATGTGTAAGTAGCTTTACACAACTGATTACATTCCACGATAAGGCAATTTAGTTTCAAATGCGTACTTCGTGGAAGAACAGTGTGTGTGTGTGTGTGTGTGTGTGTGAATATCAAGTAGATAAATGCGTGTAAACACTGGCAAAGTCCAATCACACTTTCTCCTCTCTCTCATCTTCATTCAAGGGGCCCTCTACTTTGGCCTTGAAATGGTCCCAAAGTGTCGCTATCATTTCAGCAACGATTACGTCATTACAATTTCGTCCAATTAGCTTCAACACGAAAATTCCATCTTTGCGGAGATAGTCGTAAATAAATCTCTTCAAAGTTTCTTTATGGTCACCGTCCTTCAGTCTGTCCATCAGTTTAAGATTTTTGCGGATAAAGTGCTTTTGTTCATTCTTAAAAAGCATGCTCATCCAGGTTAAGAACCCAAAAACTGTGGCCGCTGAGACAAACACCAACCAAAACCATATGAAGATGTATACTTTCTCGTTGAACAAATTGATGGGCAACACACACTGGACGGTGTGTCGGTGAATATTTCCACCAAGCTGTCGAATTTTGAAATCACACAGTGTGACGCGGGGGAAACGCCCGCTAGAGGTCCAGTCATGGTTGTTGATGAGGTCATAGATGACGTCAAACCCGTACACGTGATACGCGGTTCCAAGGAAAGCATTTAAAAGGAACAACTGCAGGATGGCGTTGGTCACGTACAAGAACTTGCAGAATAGGAAAAGAGTTATCAAGTAGTTGCCGTAACGTTTACCGATGGCCAGACAGTACTTTGCGCAGCCTTGGCGGACATTGGACCATACACCTTTCTGATAGTCGCGACTTGAATTACAGTATCTTTCCATGTGACGGACAAGGAATTTCATGACCCCTTTTCGATTCTCTGGGTTAAGATTGGCTTGTGTGTTTAGAGACTGGACCATTAAATGGGCATCAATGCCAGTACTGCCACTCATGAGACGCCAAAATATCGTTGGAACGTAAAACAAAAGCGACTGGAGCAGCAGTACAATCGTTACCCACTGGTAGTAGTTAATATGGGCACGTGGGAGGTCTGGGTCTGGAATTCGTTCCTGGAAAGGCATATAGTACGTGTTTTTGATCCAACAGTAATTGTCTGCATATTTCGTGTAAGAGCCAGAGAAATGGCCAGGCACCCAGCAGACAATGGCGTCTCCGACGTACTGTTTGGTGCTGAGAAGGACGGCAAAGACCATGAATATCAGGGCAGTGTAACGGTGGCTAAGGCGGTCGTAGAAGTCATCATCACTGCGGAGACCTTTCCAAAAGCCATTGGCTCCGCTGAGGATGTCTACTAGGTTCAGCATCCTTAAAATCAAATAAAAAGACAATTATGAGTTGTATTAATTTATGTATTAATGGTATAAGAGCATTGTCCCTATAAGCAGAGTTTCTTATTTCTATTTAGGGTGGGTAATATTTAACAATAACATAATGTCCATTTAAATTATTCAGACAAATTACGGCCATTCCACGAAAAGGGGTACAATTCCAATTTTTAAAATTTTTAAAAGTATTTAAAGAAATATGCACGTGTAAACATGGTACTGTATTTTTTTCGTTACGGAGGTTAGGTAACATCTAAATTAGGTTATTTTTCAATCATGCCAAAGGTCACAGGCTCCATATTTGAATTATCAAGATTTTGTATGTATTCAAAATATTATTGCCCATTTAAGATTTCTCTTCAATTATAGGAAATGCGGTGCAAACATATTGGTAATAAGTCGCTCGTTTTCTATAAATACAAAGCCTGAGATATTCCAATTTAAATATTTTATTAATCATTGGGGACAGACGCTTTTTTATCATACTATTTGTTTATGAACAAAGTCATCTCAATCTATTATGATATGAGCATTAATCAATGAGCACACACATATCCAGTGTTCAAATGAAAAATGAGTAATTTCGTAACGGAGGTTAGGTCATTTTAATTATTAAAATAGCGATCATATTTGTTTTGATATTTTTAGCTTAAAGTAGACTTTAGAAGCTGAATTCGGAATTTGTAGTATTACAGATACGACAAATATTACATAATAACATAGAAAAATTGATAAAACATGTTTATTCAAACCAATAATTACTAGTAATTACCCAGACGTTAAAAATCAGTGCTCACCTATCTGAATTTTTAGAAAGTAAAACAGCCAAAATATTTAACCATCTTTGGTCATAAAAAGTCATGGAAAGGGCCAACTTTTAGCAATCCTTTTTTATTTTCATTTGCTGTGTTTTTACTTCAAAACAACACTTGGAAAGGATTATTCAGGACGAAGTTATTATTTAGGACGAAGGCACGGCGCATAATTCAATAGACTCAGAGTGTGATAGAATTGTTAGATCAAGCACCGGCCCTTCGCAAGTCCTCCAGTTTATACCTGTATCCGGACGACTGATAACCTGAGGTTCACTGGGGATCACATTGGTGATATAGTCACCCTAGAGACGTGATTATGCGCAGTTGTCTGTTTACACGAGGGAAACACTGCAGATAATTTATAACAAGCGTCGTCTTTATCGAAGCAGCTGAATCAAATGATGTATTAATGAAATGTTTACCGACTGTCCGGTAAGGTCGATCATTTAATCTTTTTATGAGATTTGGCGACACTCCACACGTAGGCCAACTCTTTTTGGGGCTCTTGGTTGTTACAAGTATCAATAAATTGTGATTGAATGATGCTTTGACTTATGTCTTGCCCCTGCATCCCTGCACGACGTTTTTTTTTTTAAGACGTTCGGCGTAGCTTCTTTGATTTGATTTTTTTTCAAAAGTTATTGCCCAAAAATAATCTGAATGTCTCACATATAAATGTGATCAATTGAATGGCCAGGGGTTGCTTTACAGGTTTCTAAATGGAAAATGACATTGATTCCCGAGAGAAATCAAGGACAAGCTTATAATGTTAAGTTTTGAGGAATTGCATTGATTAGAATATGAAGTTTAATATACTCCAGTCACTATCCTGTGAAATCATATGCCTTGTTATACTTGTGATTTCAATATGTCCGACCCATGTATTATTTTGTTTTACTTTGGAGAGAAAAATATTGAATAATATTTATTACTGTTAATACTGCGTTTTAAAGAAAATTGTACGAAAATTTTAATTTCTTTAAAATATCTCATTTTAACTATTTGAAGTATGATCATACTTTGCCCGCTTAATAAGCTTTTTAAAACATTTTTCTCTATCGTTGCATCGCAATATTTCATTTCATTTCATTGAATGCTATCCGAAAACACCTATATAAAATAAAAACGTTTTGTAAAGCTGATTGCGACAGTCGTTTTTAAATGGGCTCTTTACTATATAAACAGACATACGCTAATTCATATATATATATAATATACAGGATGGTCCATACAAAACGGCCTATTTTACTTTCCATCTCAATATTGATATACTTGTAATTTATATATTTCCAACTTTCTTTCCTGTTTCACCAATTTCACCAAATTGTTCCTTAAGGATGACCATTTTATCCTTGCAAATCCATTTTTTACTTGCAGTGATTGAAAACCCCAAAGATAGTCAAATTTCTATAACTGATAATGTGCTCTATCCACGCTCCTCGCTGTTGAATAACGGCGGCCACACGAACACTAAATTTGGCAATAACTCTTGCAATCATGTCAGCCGGACTTTTCTTTACTTCTCTTCGTATATTGATCTTCAAAAGTATCTAGAGTTTGTTAGCATAGATTCTTTCCTGAAGGTAACCCCCAGGGGAAAAATTTGGATCTGGCGAGAAATGTGGCCTAGGAAAGTCCGCGCGAGATGAGATGATAATAAATGAAATTCGGCTTTCTTAAAGGTTCTCAATTTCTGCAAAATTTGCAAGGATAAAATGGTCATCTTTATCGACAATTTGCTGAAAGACAGTTGGAAAAGTCTTAATTATATCATAATTGAAATGGAAAGCAAAATAGATCGTTTTTTTTATTGACCACCGTATACATATTTTGCCAGAATTAATGTTTTTTCGGTCTCAATGTATTTCTTAAAATCGAAAAAGACAACGATTTGATTTGGAATTAAGACCATTTTTAAATGCTGTTTCTTATTTTGGGAAACAATTTCTACTCAACACGCTATGTAATTCTGCGTTTACGTAAAAAAAGGTAAAACGGGGACTTATGCGTGTCATCAAAAGCAAAAATTCAAGTGATTTTTGAAAATGAATGACCAAAATATTTTGTTGAAATATCTAAAGTGGAACTATTGCAAAGAACAACATCGAAATAAGTGATATGAAAGAGGCGGAGATTGCACTGTATTTGGTCGGCCAAAATCAAATAAATCAAAAATTAGGTTTTGCATGCTGTGGCGAAATCGATGAAATTCTGAAGATTTGCAATAAAAACGTGATCAAAGTCAACTTAGTTTACGCAACCACAGACTTAAAGCGTATATCGGCCATTTTAAAAGTGCATTGTTCCAGTATTCCAAAAAATAAAATCAATTGACAACATGAAGAAAAATATTAAAATGTCCCATCAAGAGACTTGATATATAATTGATGTGACAAGCACACAGAATATATCAACCGTTTTTTAGAGAAAATATCAGAACTTTCCACTTTGCTAAATTTGAAGCTCTTATTCTAGGTAGGCCTATGTGCGTCGCAACACGAGCATCTGCAGGAGTGGACTTGGTTAGTACGATTACATCACTGGAGATAAAGCTGTATGCAGTGAAACATTATCATTAATCTTGCCATTCAGAAGGTAGATCAAATTCTCATAGATACGCCTTAAACTGTGAACTGATTTTAGTTCTATTGCTAATGCTGATATTGATTGGAAAAAGGAGACAATCCGTATAATTTTAAATTTAAAACGCGAGCTTACGCTTTAAAGTACGACCCAATCTCGGATCCCAAATAAAGGTCCACACTTGTCCAACTCTTTACTGATATATAAAAAAATTAATGCTTATCAAGTTCAAAAACCTTTTTCTTTATAATATTTATGGATGAAAAAAGGGGTTATCAAGGAAAAAAATTGATTTAAAAGTTTTGGTTCTAGACTTTCATTATTTGTTTTATGCAACCTTTTGTAACTCGAATTTATTTTACCAAGTGATGTTTTTTTTACGATACCAAAAATTACGATAACAAGTCAAAGTCTTTGTTGGCAATTTACTATGCAATAAACACACCGATCCAATAGTTTAAAATATAAAAAATAAATGATTAAGGATAAAAGTTAATAATCGGGAATCTTTAAAGAAAACAAACATTTTCTGGATATTTACTTCGAAACCAATAAGTTTTCAAACCTAATTATTTTGATGTTGACAATCATACACAAATACCTTTACTCAAGTCTTAAACACATTTCAAACTTATACTTCAGTTTTAAATATCAAACAACACATCATATAACTCTTGGATAACTCATTAAACAACCTGCACCTTTAGTCATCATTTCGATATAGGCCTATGTTAATTATTCATTAGGTGCTATCGAAACATAATCACATAAAAAGTGATCATAAATGTCAACAACCATAAACACACAAAAACACAATAATAACATGTATCAAGTTTCATATACTGACCTTCCTTTCTAGGAAACAAAGACATGAAAAAATTCCCTCTGGTCTGGCCACTGCTTTAATTGTACAATGAAAATGGCGACGGGTGCACGCGGCGGCGCGTCATCGAGCGTTCAAATTAGGTCAGGTATGTGGGGCGTTGAGCAAATAGAAGGCACCGACGCGCCAGAGTGCCAGAGTGGCTTAGAAAACAAGAGTATGAAATAGCTTACTAATAAGACCTTGCAGATTTAAAAATGCATTCGACTGAAAAATGAAATCATTTCTGCATTTATTGAGATCGAAGAAACTCAGACACAACTTCATCCTGAATAAATAAATAAAGGCACGCGCAGGCCTTAATTACCTTCACCCTCATCCCAACTTTACAATTTAGAAAAAAAGGTGAACTGAACAGAGGTTGGGGCAAATGATAATCTTTGTTAAACAATCATTTTTAAAGATATTAGAAAGAGTTGAATGAGCTGTCAAACTTCAACCAATGACGCGGCGTGACTTCTATAGCCTCAGCGTATGTAAATCCAGGATTGGCATTATGGGCTCCCCTACAAACCACCCGTAACAAGCATTTATAGGATGCCATACACCGAGTGTTACATAATTATATAGTATATACTGAACGGTGTTTGGTCTGGGCAGTGATAAGGGACAGTTTATTACCAAGTAACCTAGAGGTGGAAGCATTATGGAAACTACGAGTTCAACAGAATTTTAGTCAGGAACCTTGGGTATGAATTTATCAAAAACTTTGATAAGGTACCTGACTTCAAAACCTACTGTGTTAGCCACATTAAGTCTCAGCGCTGAGCAACAATCTTGACTAACGAGAACAAGTTTTTCTTTTTTTTCCTCTTGTTTTTGTGTACCCATTTAATCCGGTTGTATAGAGAGCTCACATCGATCTCAGCCCAAACACGTAGGCTGGCGAGCTGATAACCTCCAGTTCACCACAGTCATCTGTTATGCCCACGGTCATGATAGCTGACTTTTGCACCCAAGCCCCACGCGTTCTCTGCTCTCCAGTGCCGTCTTTACACCCCAACATGTTGACAGGTGTCAGATATAACGCCAGATTATTGAACTTCATTAAGTCGTATAGATAAGGCAATGGCTAGGTAATTCTATATCAATGATAGAGAACTATGCTTGGATCAAAGTTTTGTTTGGTGACCAACATTCGATCTATTCAGTGTTTGCAGACTTGGTCAGCCCATGGCAGTTATATTTAAGAAAATGGAGGTCACTGTTTTCGTTGCTGTTTTCGTTGGTAAAGTAAGTGAATCCCTTGTTGCACTAAAATGAAAAATAACTCTTATAATTTCTAGCTGGACTTCTTCTTTGTGTGATATATAAAGAAAATACTAGTTTTTTTAATGCCGCAGCCAAAAATGCAATTTACTGTCCGCATTGTGTTAGTTGCGCTCTGAAGTGTTACAACCAAAAACGCAGTTCAATAAAAGCTATAAAAGCGTTTGTTTCTACGTTGCACATTCCTCTTTGTAACATTGTCATATCGATTTTGATATCCATCGATACATACGTTACCTATGTTTTTAATAACTGTTCGCTGGGGGGGGGGAGGGGGGGGTCTGACACTCCCCCCCCCCTTCCACAATTCGGTTTCTGAAAAATATATATATCGCACCAATATTTCCGTCTTGAAATTAAAAATTTGACTGACTTATTTATAGTCTAAACCGTACAAAAGAGTATTGTTTGCTCTCCAAAACCCGAAAAAAATTTCGGGGTCCTTCAGCAGGCCCCGAACTCCACACCAAGGGGGCGATAGTCGGCTTCGCATCAGAGGCCTGTCGTTTCGGACTCTCCCCCATCCCCTTCAAATAATCCTGGATCCGTCCCTGGACCATGCAGGCCCAGCAAGTGGCCCAAATACGAGCAATCTCGGGGTCCGACAGCTACTGGTATTTTTTTTTTTTTCTTTTCTAACAAAATTTATAATGAATCGAGTTTTAACACGTTAAATCTAGAAATTAGACCCGCTGGTAAATCAGCGTTCAGACGACACATGGGACAAATTCTATTTTCTGCTTTTGTGCTAAAACATCTTGAAATTTTCAGGATGAATTTTTGTAATTTTCTGTTAAAATTGTATAAATTGTATAAGATTCTGAAAAATAATTAAATATTTTCAAGATCACAAGCTTTCAGTTTATAGGTATCGGAACAGAATTTGAAAACCAACGCAAAATACAAGCCAATATAAACATAAAATTGTCTTACAAGAATACCATAGTCAACATTAGCATGAATAAGGAATCAGTGGACCAAATATGCGCATTCTTCTACAGGAACGCGCTGCCAGTATCTAAAAATATTCACAAAATATTCAATTAGGTAAATGTATAAATAGCTAAATAAGCAAATAAAGCAACTAATAAGGTCAAAAAATAAAGCGTGATATGTACAATAAAGTTAAGTAAACATTCCTGAAGTATATATTCATTTTGTAGTAAGCGTGTACTTAAAAGGAGATTTCATGGGATTTCGTAAGCTTTTATAACTTAAAAGTAGGTCTTAAATCTTCCCATTTTTATTAATTTTTACTTACGTTTTAACTATACTAAAGGAATTCATACTCTTTATCAATTATTTTTCCTCCAATAGTGAACATAAATATGGATTTAATTATTACATAAAAAAGTTCAAACACAATCACGTTAAGCTTTTCTCTAACTCACAGTGCAGAAAAGTGCCATGAAGTAACCAGTGACATATCTGTAAATATCTAGTGAAAAAATCAATCTGTGGCCCTGGTAGGGAGTATATCGACATTTAATCAAGTCTGAAACAGGTGTAATGTTCCATTAAATTAAACAACTACCACTTTACTTTGGATAAAAGTAGAAAAGCAGTTTGTTCTATATAAGTTAAGACCAATTTTGGGGCCGAAGTTATTTAGTGAACCCTGCCCCGACGCCTGTGTCACATAATGCATATGATTCTTACATACATCAGCTCTGGAAAGATGAAAATCACAGCTTACGAAGTGTTTTCATGATCGAAATGCAGTAACTGTGATACGCTTTTTGTGCCCAGAATCTTAACCAATGTCAATTAACCTCTACCACAATGACTCTGGCGCAATCATCCGGCACAATAGTCTACAACGGCTATATCCAATGCACTGTGTTTCCATGTCTATCTCCAGAAACTTGTAGGGTGCTACGATTATTTGTGTAAATATGTGTCCCACAAGCTGAAGTATAATATGTACTGTAGATTTTTGGTATTATGATTTTTTCTGATTTATCCCATTTTCCTTGTCGTAGTTTGCACGCACTGAGTGCCAGTATCGAGATGTGTTTTGTCTGTAGTAAAACACTTACCAATATTAAACTTTGTGTTGATTATTTGAAGATGTTTACACTGGTACTGTTGTTTCTCAATCAGAAAAAGAAATCCTGCACATCATCTAATTTCCTTTCCCCTTTCACTCCCCTGTACCTCTAATTCGCCTCCAAAAGTGCATATCTTTTTTCGAAAACTACTGTTCAACAAACGGTGCTTCGATTCCAAAGATTTAGATGCGTGAGTTAACCTATTAATATGACAATGTTAAAACCGCATCGAGTCATACCTCAGACACTTCAGATTTACTGCACTACCACAACAGAATGTCAATTGTTTTCTTCACGACTTATCATGGTGCACCGGTTAAACACATCAGGGAAAATATGATACAGAGACTTTTTATCTAACATCAAGTCTGACCGTCGCAACACCGTCTGTCTAAGTGCGGTCACAGGTATTTGGTTACACACACAAGCTCTCATAGCCAAGAGGTTTCATATAAATTATAAGCATACAACACCGTGGATAATGGTACCACTCATGCCTGGTTTTGCAGCTGTTTTAGGACAATTATGTCGTCTATATTCACGAGTATTACGTAGTATTCAGCAACGTACACAGCGGTTCAAGTAGAAATCATTTAACACCTGTGCCTGCATTTCATCCAAACTCCCAACTTATCCCGATTAAGCTTAATCAGACTATTGACGATTGCCTCCCCCTCCCCCCACTTCCCTCCGTTATCATTATTTGGTAATTACTCCATTAAACAAAATAGTTATTTCTAGGTTTTATTACATCACCATAGATACAGCAACCTGAACGGAACGCAAGCATCTTTACATATACAACTAGACTCGAGAATCAAAAGGCGATCATTTTGATTCCATTATCATTATTTCAAAGGCACACCGAATTAAGTTTTCCTTTCATTCCTTTATCAAGTGCCTTTAAACTAATATGCCCTGCAACCTTGGCAAAGTGACTTCACAAAGCCTGTCTTTTACTTGACATAAAAAACAAGAAACAAATATCAAATCTGTATATTTTATATTTATTGTTAAAACGTCAATAACGTCAATAACCAAAAGAAACAGAATACACTACGGTTTTTGATTGTATCTTTTTATCAATTATCATCTAACACTTCGTTTTATTAATCAACATCTAACGCTAACTTTAACCGAACAAATAATACTCTAGTGGTAAGGACAAGATATTGAACCAAATCAAACCACTTCAAAAAGTAAAATTATCTTTTTTAAAAAATTGTTTTCTCGTTTTATCTTTTTAGAATATATTCTAGAGCGGTTTTTGAGCATAAGTATACAAGTTACATTTAAAATATACTCCTGGATTTCGCTTCAAAAATGTCATTAGCAAAGTCAAGCTGCAGGGAATGGAGATTCAACTTAAAAAAATAATGAACCCTTTAAAAAAGTCTCAAGCATGAGATTCCATGAAGTGAAATGAATATCATTTCACGAGACAGATACTCGCTTATGAATACACAAATACTTCCTGTCGTAAATACTGACCTCAAACATAAATGCAGTTATTTAAATGATGTCGCACTTTCTCGGACACCTTTGAGCAAATACGGAATGCTACAGCTTGGTTTGGAAATGGTATATGAGTTAAAAAAATGTTATCTCTCGTCATCCCTTTCAATTACAGCACATGTTAATGTAATACGTCCGGTCCAGTTACTTTGTGAAAAGGCACTGTCATTACACTTTGATAATACTTAGTTTTACACATACTGAAGTGGTGTCATCGATGTTTAGACCTTGTATAATCAAGAATACACTACTGCTACAGAAATAAACGTTGGACTAGTCTGAAACCTGAATACCAATTTTCACCACGAGATCTCAGTTCGATAGGTTACGTGTAGAGAGCGTACTTAATGGATTAACAAATTAAGTCAAAACGTGAGAGAATACTGTATCCTGTTAGGTACAAAATAGCTAAATACGAACTAACCTACAACTGCTATTTCTTTGACACTCAAATTAAATCAGTCAGTATGGGATGGATGCACCTTAAAAAGTGGAATTTTCACACCAATGGTGAGATCATGACCCCGAAGTAATGGGTAGCAATGCCTCCCTTGTTGCAATGGTGTGAACTCCACACCGGGACTGTTATATTAACTCTGCTAAACATTTAAAATGTTCACACAGCATCTTCAAGCATCTTGTCCATTTTGTGATTTCCTTCTTCGTCAAGGCCTCTGTCGGTAAGCAGATGAGCGCGATCCTTCTTGAATTTCTCCCACAGCGCTGCCACCAGCTCTCCTATGACGATATCATTGGTGTTTCTACCCACCAGGTTAAGGATAAACGCCCCGTCGGGACGCAGGTACCGCGTAATGAACTTCCGTACCAATTTCCCATCGCCGGTGCTGGTTGAGGAGATGATGCCCATACGTTTAAGGAACTTGGCGATGTAGGCCTTTCTCTCTCGTCGGTAGAGGAAGCTAAACCACGAAATCATGCCCCATACCGTTGCAATAGCCACGTACACCATCCAGAACCACAAGAACATGTAGATCTTCTCGTTGAACAAGTTGATAGGTAGAGCGCACTGTACAGTCCAGCGATGGATGTTCCCTCCCAGTTGCCGTATGTTGAAGTCACACAGAGTGACACGCGGGAATCTGCCGGTCTGATACCACTCCATCTTAGTAGTCAGCTCCGACAGTACCTGGAAACCGTACACGTGAAACATAGAGCCAAGAAACGCATTGAGGAGAAACAACTGCCCTATAGCATTACACACGTACATGCATTTCACCCACAGGTACAAGAAGAACAGATAGTTGCCATACTGCTTGCCCAAGAACGGGCAGATCAAATTTGTGAACTTCTCCTTGAAGCGGGAGCACTTGTTCTTGTGGTAGTCTTGCTTGAGGCACAAGAAGCGGTCCAGGTGATTCACAACCGTCCCAATCACCTCCTTTCTTTTCTCGGGATCCAACAACTTGGGCGCCCAGATAGCTTTCACGATCATGTTGAAGTCTATGCCAGCACCGTCACTCATGAGTCTCCAGAAAATACGAGGACTGTAAAACAACAACGCCTGAAGGAGGAGCACCAGGGCCACCCACTGGTAGTAGCCGATGTGTGCCCGGGGAAGCTCGGGGTTGGGGATACGTTCCTCAAACGGCATGAAGTACGAGTTTTTGATCCAGCAGTAGTTGTTGGCGTACTTCTTGTGGCCCCCTGTGAATACCTTAGGCACCCAGCACACGATGGGGTCGCCGACATATTGCTTGCTACCCACCAGCATGGCAAATACTATGAGGATGAGGGAGGTGATACGGTGGTTGAGACGATCGAAGAAGTCATCGTCACTGTGGATGCCCTTCCACACACCGGACAGGATCCCGACGAACGGGGCCATCCTAGAACAAAATGATAAGACTATTACAGTTATATTACACCAGAGAGATCAACGTTTGAATATTAAGCAATGATTAATTTATAAATCGATAAATTTAGAACACCTAGTAGTTTAGAAGTTAGGCAAAATGATTTTTAAAAAATAACACGAGTGTCGTACTGACGAGCAAATTTAGCTTAATTGAACGAAACGAGTAACGTGAGCCCGAAAAAAGAGCACTACTTGGTCTACTTCAGTTGCTTCACAAGATTGCGTGCGTATGCACAATGTACTCAAAAGAATGCTGGTGTCAAGTCAAGTATTCACTGCCACCTTGAAGATAAATTAGTCTCCGTTTCAAACTGAGTGAGAACAATTGCCCCATAGCATTACTTACTAGCAAACCGTGCTTGTGTGTGTGTGTGTGTGTGTGTGTGAGAGAGAGAGAGAGAGAGAGAGAGAGAGAGAGAGAGAGAGAGAGGGGGGAGCAAATTATTGATTTCAGTTGCGTTGAAAGACAAGATACTGAGAGGCGTCTGTACAGTGACTAGTGATGGATTGTGTTCCGGTGGTGCGTTGATTGTGACATATTACACCTGGCTGAGATGACAATCTCAACCGCACGCAATCAGGAATACACACTGCACCGTCTGCTCTAGATAAGGGTTGAATGTCTGAACCCCGTCAACACCATTGCTACATAAAGTAGTTCAAAGAGTTTCATGTAATTCAATCGATCAACAGTTACAATCTGTGCTCTTTTCCTTCGGACGCCACTGCAGCGCGTTTCCTGAAAATTCCAACTATCTTCTCTCAATTCTTTGGATTTGTAAACCGCATATTTTTTTCTTGCATGCAATGTTGACATTTCAAAGTGAGGTGATCATTATTTGAGACTGCATTATAATTCTTTTCTGTGTCGCCTATACTGTCGCTCAAGATACAACTATCAAATGTGCCGTACCAAATACATGATTTGGACTTTTAGGCTCTCATGACCCTAAGATGCGAGTAATGGACGCAAACATATCAGTCTTAAATTTACCGAGTGAAGCACAATTTCCAACGAGTCACTATTTAGCCCGAGACGAATACGGTCTAGCGACCTGAAAGGCGCTACAAAGGAGGCAAGAAATGTTCTTACAAAACAACAGAGTGCGACACACTTTTCCCTCGGGTCATTACTTGACTTGAGATAACAAGTTTACAAGACCAAGAATAACTTAAATCAACTGACACTGTCAGTCATTTTCAAATTGTGCAGGAAGACTAGGTGTGCAATTCAATTAAACTTGACGCCCCAGGCCTTCCCAGTGCTGATAGTCAAGCTTTTTCGATTTTGAATACACAATGTATTATATGTACTTGTGGCATTATCTCGAAGATTTCTGAGGTGTCCCGCTTTGGTTCAGACTTGAAAAACTTGGCAAGGGTATAGTGAAGTAAACAGACAAAAAATAAAAGTCCACAGTTTTATTCTATCACTTTGTTTCTCATTAGGAATTACAGAAAATGAAAATATTGAACATCTAATAATAAATCTTTTTCTAAAATTGTCAAGTTGCTCTAGCTTGAAAAGTAACTAGGCTATTTTGTGTAAGTATTCTAAGCTACATGTTATTGCAACTACTAGACTGTGAATACATCATATAAAAACCATTTCACTAAATAATTTGTTTCATGATCAATGTGCACGAAGTGGAATGTTGCACTGTCATTATATAGAGCAGTGACAGGCCAATACACGACATGAAACTTAACATTACAATGGGAATGCCCTTCAAAATAGACACTGTGCTACATAATAATAAGTATCTACGGATATTACTAAGCACACCCAACCAAAGCACCACGAAAACTGCACATAATAGGCGTTTGTTGCTGAAAAGATATGCTGTATAACGAGCAAAAGCTACTATCTGCAATGTTTAATGTGTATGAAATAAAAGGTTTAATTTACCGGCAGGATTTCCCGTCCGGTAAATGAACCATATACTGTTACAATGACGGTTATAACGGTTGCGAGATCAATTCTTGTGTATCTCTCATTTCAGTTTCTTCAAAAATTTGTCAATATATTTATAAAATACACATGCATAAAGACACTGCAATGTGCATAAAAAGTATTTGTACAGTTATTGTAGGACTTATCACATTTACGATACATATCAACGAATGTAAATTAAATCTGACCCTTCACCTTCATATCAAAATATCAAACAAAATATGGTTTTGAGCTATGTCATGGCTAGCTTACTATACAACTTCCACTGTCCCCAACTTCATTCAATATACACTTCGCTGAACTTTCTCAAAAATGTCAAAACAAAACTTATACTGATGAGCCTGTATCTTACATTAATGTACACCTCAATCAATGTTCTAATCTAGAACAAAATACACTATATGCTTAATGTCATGGGCTTGGTTTCAAATCTCTATGACATTAGAGGCTTTTCTGGTTTCTCGTTTTCATTGTCGTTGTCGTTTCCTACAGGCTCGGCAGGCGGCTCACCCTCGGCGTCCAGCAAAGACCTGTCGCTGTACAAATGTACACGGTCTTTCATGAACTTCGCCCACAGTTCAGCAATAAGTTCTCCAATGACGATGTCATTGGTGTTTCTAGAGCACAGGTTTAAGATAAATGCACCGTCAGGTCGCAGGTATTTCGTGATGAACTTTCGCACGTTCTTTCCGTCTCCAGTTCTAGTCGAGTTGATGATGCCCAGACGTTTCAGATACTTCGCCACAAATGACTTTCTCTCACGGCGGCTGAGGAAACCTAGCCATGAAATGAGACCCCAAATGGTGGCAGCGCACACGTACACCAGCCAAAACCAAAGGAACATGTAGATCTTTTCGTTGAACAAATTGATGGGGAGCGCACACTGAACGGTATGCCGATGGATGTTGCCACCGAGTTGACGGACTTTGAAGTCACACAGCGTAACTCGAGGAAATCTGCCGCTTTCAAACCACTCTTGCTTGGACACCAGGTCCTGGATTACTTGGAACCCATACAGATGAAAGAAAGTCCCCAGAAACGCATTCAGTAAGAAAAGCTGGCCGAGCACGTTGCAGACATAAAAAACCTTCACCCACAGATACAGGTAGTACATGTAGTTACCGTATTCTTTGCCAATGAAGGGACAGATCAAGTTCACGATTTTTTCCTTTATTCTCACCAATTTGGACTTGGAGTAATCTTGTTTGAGCATCAAAAAGCGGTCCACGTGCAAGGCGACCGTTTTCACGGTGCCCTCTCGCTTCTCCGGGTCGAGGCAAGCTGGTCCCCACAACGCTCCGACAATCATATTAAAGTCAATACCCCCAGCTGAGCTCATGAGACGCCAGAAGATTCGAGGAAAATAGAAGAGCAACGCCTGCAGGAACAGCATCAGCGTTACCCACTGGTAGTAACCAATGTGCGCCCTTGGCAGTGACGGGCCCGGGATCCGCTCCTCGAACGGCATAAAGTACGTGTTTTTGATCCAGCAGTATTGGTTAGCATATTCTTTATGTGAGCCCGTAAACACTCCAGGCACCCAGCAAACGATGGGATCTCCCACATACTGCTTGCTGCCGATGAGGACGCCGAATACAACGAGGAGCAGGGCGGTGTAGCGGTGGTTTAATCGGTCGTAGTAGTCATCGTCGCTAGTTATCCCCTTCCATACACCCGCTAGGATGTCCACAAAGGGTGCCATCCTTGAAAAGAAAGAACGACACTGATATTAGAATTGTGCGCTCCCCATCGTTTTTAACTTCTCTAACACAATCGCCTCCGGTTTATATCCCAGCGATGTTCATTCCACTACACGCCGATTCCAGTTTGACTAGTATCAACAACTAACACACTGAAATACATACTTTAAGAATCGACATTTCAGATTTTTAACACTTTCAACTCTAATTACAATCAACCAACAAAACACTTCATTTACCAGAGAAGTTAGACTTTAGGATGCACGTGGTTAGTAATTTTCATATGTGAAAGAGGGCGCTGCTATGCCCCTTGCCTTCCAGTACAGTATCATGATAGTGATATGCATCTTTTCTTCTGTGGGCTAGATACCGTGCCTACCCTTTGTATGACCAAGATCATATGACCGCAAAGAAGAGAATGTTGCATAATACATAAGGCCTGGGTGTGGGTTTCTATTGTCTGGAGAAAGCTTTGTTGTTTTAAATTTTTTGCACTCTTACAAGTCACAGCTATGGGATAATAATGCACCGTCACGCAAATTATTTTATCACTGCGATCAGAGTTCTTTTGCGGTGCGTGGCGACGGGAGGAGAGAGTTTGGTGAGAAAAAGGGGACTAAGTTTGGTAGCCCACATTCAACTGCGCTTTTGTCGTTATAAGTTAGTGAAGTACGAAAACAGATCTAACATGGGGAGTATTGGGTTACCAGCAGATGCAGACCATGCCTGAATGTCTCTATTACACTGCCCGCTTCCTGACCCTTCTTTGATTACCAACTAACTGCCATTGCTTTTCAATTTAAAGCCACTAAACCACAAATGCAATACTCCATTAAATGAGCTCAACATTACGTCAAGTTAACAAACTGTAATTCAACCAGGTTTCAACTAGAAAGAATTGTCACGTTTACGACTCCCGTTGGCAATTCATTTAATGCCCTGCCATGACATCTCATCTGTGACCTCTACAGCACCTGCATCTTTGATCACTGTCTAATGATCTCGTGCTAGGTAACATACAGTGCAAAGTGAAAAACAACTTTGGGCACATTTATTAAAACAAAAAAAAAAAATGAGTGGAAAATGTGGCACTCGTTCTAATGTGGCGTGACGCAAGTCACCCAGACAGCGACAAGATGGTCTGCTTGACACACCTGAATGGCTGCTACCTGTGCTGAGCTGGCAGGCATCGAGGATGAAGCGAGACTAAATTGGAAACTAACTCAAGTACGCTTTTGGTCATTTTTTTCAGTAACATTTCACCCAGCCCCTAATCCACTGCGTGGCACGCATGCCACAATAACTCGCCCTTTGTCGGTTTACCATATAACTTTGCTTCACACGGCTTTTTGTAGCGCCCCTAAAATAATAAACCAGCCCTGGCTTTGTCCGCTGCCGGGAGTTATCTTCACACCACAGGGCATGTTGACGTAGCAATTAACACTTTTGACGGATTCTTTGTTTCAGAGGAAGCAGCTTATGAGTATGGGGGATAATTAACATTCTGTTCAAATATAGGGCAGCCCGAGGTGAGCACTAAATATTATGCTCAGTATACAAATAAACTAGAGAAAAGACCATAGTTAAGTGATGTTAACTTAACATAAACTATTTCACTCCACGGGGCCAGTGCACATAAACATCGGTGCATTTATAGGGACAATAGTTGGCGCTTTGCATAATGCTAATAAATCATGTTCTCCTGTACATAATGTCTGTGAAACAAGCCAGTGAGGAATTAACTTTTAAATGACTTCCCAGCGTGAAATGCCAACATAACACTTGTAGCTCGAGTTTCACACACATAAAAAACAACACTTTAAGGAAAAAGCTTGTATTAACGACTCCGGTAAATAGAAGAGGAGCTTGCGATAGCGATCTTAACTTATGGAGACACTCTGGTTAGAAATATGGCTCTGTTTAGGACTTAATCAGTCCCATACGTCCAAGGCATTCACACACTCAGCATATGAACAGGGCAAACAAATAGCAGTAGGAGTCGGAAAAATACTTTAATATTTTAAACAAATCAGAGTCGTTATATGAAGCTGGGATACAGTTCAACAAGATACAAATCTGTATAACCATATGTTGAAAAGAGATAAACATTTTCCTTCAAACGTAGCACGACTTCTGGAATTAATGAACACGTGACAAATTGAAAAACTAATTGGTCGGATGTTTTCTTTAAAATCCAACTTGACTTCTTTTAAAGTTTCCCGTTTAATTTCACTAGAAGTATAAATAACGCCTGGACAAAAAATAAACGTGAACTTTGTCCGAGTCCTGTGAATGTGAATAAGTAAACAAATTTTCAAAATCCACACCCGCGATTTTTCCCCCCAACGGTTACATATTTTTTCAAAACAAGTTTTAAAGATAATGTTAAACGAATTCCAGATAGAGCTGAATTTCAGAACTTCTTGACACAGAAGAAAAAAGACGATCAACCGAGCCCCCACCGCAATGGCGACACTACTGAGCAAAAGACACTGATTTCACATGCACTACTGGCGTTATTAAAGCTTTTGTCGCAGAAGCTCATCAAAATCTTTACATTTTAAAGAAAATATTGTATGAACATTAACTAACGTACCTTTCTAGGTGACCACTGTATAGTACAGTTTCTGGCTAGCTACTTTTACAGAACTTCTTAAACTTTTTCGCAGCTGGCTTGTCAATATAGTTCTCGGTCTGTGCTGAATAATCTACCACATCTCACTCGATACACTTAGTAGGCGTAGCTACGTGACAGGCGGAAATGACGAAATCGGCCAAGACGTGACGCTTCCGTATAATTTATGTACTCATTGTAGTGTTTGTGGTGTCACGTTCACCCATTGGTGGGCTGGGCATCCTGAATGGTCTTCTTTAGTCAGAATATTAAACTCCTTCCCATTTCAGTGAAGTCCAATTACTATGCCATTTGAATTCGTGCATTGCAGATTGTCAGATATACATAAGATTTTTAAAAGCTGAATGCCCCGTAACTAGACAAGCGCAGATAATGGGGTGTCCCCCGCGGGGTTTACAGCCTGACCCTGCCAAACTGGCGCGTGATTACTTCTAAATAGCTTTTGTTACATGATCTCAGAGCAGGGATAGTTGTGTAATCTTAGCTCCGCCAGGTAGCACAACAAAAGCCATTCCCACTTGTTTGGAGAACTTGTTACCTTTACCAAAGCAATAACAACTTTCATGTCTGGGAAGACCGCAATGTGAGGCACGTAGAAGTAGTTTCTTTGAGATTCGAACGAACCACCCTTTTGGTCAAGAGACGGTCCACTTTGAAATAAAGTTTGATCTAGGTTCTATGCCAACGTGTATGTTTCTCGATGAAAGGTTCACTTTTTCAGAAAAAGAACCCTCCCCTCCTTTTGCAATTGCTGGCTATATCCCAGACTACCATGATGATTTGCTGATAACTCACAGCTCACAGCTGAAACTTCCAAACCGCCCTCTCTCACAGTGAGCGAAATTCGTCAGATTAAAAAAAGTCTAGTTTACATTAACAAAAAGATCTCTTCAATATTTCTATCAAAATATTATATATGTATATCTTTAGAAATAAATACAAATATCATATATATCTTTAAAAAAAATTAATAAAATGAAAAAAAAAAAAACCTATCGATGTACCGGTACTTAGGAAACCTAATCTTTATACCAGGAATGTTTTTTTTTTTTTTTTTTTTTTTTTTTACGAATTCAGAAAAACTTAATTTTACTGAGGTGTCACATATATCTGTCAGTTGTGACATAAAATAGCCCTGTCCTCAACAGAGCAATATATTCTGATGAAATATTTTAAAGGATTTCGTGAAATGTAGGCCTACACAATGAATCATTAGCATAATTGAGCTCAGGTCAACCTGATATAATGTGTGGATACGTCACGTACTGTCAGAGTCCCTTTTGAGAGGAGATCGAGTTCATCTGAGTTTATCTTCGAATTTCAAATGAGCGGATGTTTGATAGAATGATGTTAAAGGAAAGAGGTGGGTTTGCATCATAATAACCCCAAGAGATGAAGCTCCTGTGAAAATGTGTTGAAATTTGAGACAATGCTTATAGGCTCAATGTCGAGAGTTGCCAAACAATGAATTTCAAAAATACCGTACAAAATGAGAAAAAGGAGAATTACTAAAATGCGACAAAATAATATTTGATAAAGGAAAAAAAATCTTGCCCTGTAATAATAATGTACCGGCTAACTTTGGTGTTTCTATTACAATAAAAAGCAAAAATAAACCCAGGTTGATTTTTATTATTTGCACGTTAAGTACTTCAAGCTATGCACGAAAGACGCTCATATTCTTCTTCATTTCAGTTTAAAACGCACTGAGTTCTCATTAGCTGATCTAAAAATGACTTAGATCTCAGATTGTTGTGATCAAGAGAGATGTAATAACATGTCTTCTATTTACATGCCGTCTACGATGTGGCTGGAATGAACGCATCAGTCTATTTTCATGGTTTCTTGATTTCAAACATATTTATCTCTTAAAATGCAGACAGATAAAGCTAGCTGAAAACTACGCCCAGCGTAATGGGTTTGAATTACACCATAAAAATGTATGGGGGTGTCCGTGATAAATCATATGTGATAGCATCAAGTTTTGAAAGAAAGGGGGAGAGTTTAAAATATGAATAAAACTTATAATGTAAAATTGCGCAATCCACACCGTGTCCGTGACTGTCCGGGAATAAATCTGGGGACGGATGCGGGTTTTCCTGGTCCTCGCCATGTTGAAAACAAAGGAGTGCCTGTCGTCGTGAGACAACATACTTGATAATATATGAATCCTATTTGTTTTACCCAAAATATTTTGTGGTTTTGTAAAAACGTTTAAGTTGACACGCATATGACTCAGGAGAAAGACTGCTAGTTGAAGTTAAGGGGGCTGTAACCAAGATTATTGTTTCTGTATATTAATCTTTTTAACTCTTACCATGCTATTTTTCTTTCAATGCAAAAACGGGTTCTGGTAATGTTGGATTAAAAAAAACGCAAGAAGTTATTTTAAAAACTTAACTGCAACGCGAAGCAACGTAAGCAAAGGGTTTTTAACCTTCAAGACGCTACATAAAAGGGAGCCGTGGCCCACCCTTGGATCTCCTCCTGTGTTCATGGACGTAAAAACAATAAAACAAGTCCTTCATGTCTAGCTGTGTCGTTTTGGTACACTAGAGATTACCTTTAAAGAAGCACCCCACGTAAAACTTCAAAGAAGAGCCAGATATAAACCACAACGCGTTCTGAATTCATATCAAACATCGTTTTATTTAAAATCAGCTTTATTTCCAACGAACGTGATGACCTTAAAGTTAATAAAATACAAACATTTTGTGATAGCCATTAACTTGAGCATATAATTTCAATTGTGGTTAATTCTAATTTGCATAGCATTACCGGACCGGAGTCCAAAAAGTGAACTAAACTATCCCATCACCGATACCCATCCTAATCTATCTTACCAATTCAACATCTCATTTAAGCTTTAAATCAACAGCACCTATGTACATGGTCTATACCAAGAGATCATAAAGTTCGCTCCCTAATTACAATTACTAAGACTACAATTACCGATCTCAATTTTCAGGTAAAATTAAACTTTCAACATAAACATGCCATGTTTTTTTCTTTTTTTATCTTAATCTTTAGTAATAGCAGTGAAAATGACCAACCGACTTTAACCAAGGCTGCCGGTCGGGTAGTGGAAATGACTATCCACTGGAAGACAATAGTTGTTATAAATTGCTAAGTGCATGCTACTGGAATTTAATGGTGTGTTTATCTAATGCATCTAAGTAATTGCTCTATCCATATGCGCTTGTTGCTGAGCAATATAAAGCAGAATACATTAAAACCCTTGTGATAGTCAGAATACTGCTTGACAAAGCTACTGTGCCTAATACAACCACCCTCCGCAGTTATTCGGGGGATACATAAGAAAAAAGCTTCATAATACCAAGAAGGCAAGATTTAGCAGACCACGTGCTTTTTCATGTGACTAGCAGATACGCATAGAAGCAACTATACTTACATTACGACTAGGCTTGTTGTTGTAAAAAATTCAAAACATGAGATTTACAAACGTTGTCCCAGTTACGAGCGCCGAGTTCAGTGGCAAAATAATGTAATACCCTGCTCAGAGATTTCCTGCAGCTTTCGTTCAGTACATCACAAAACACAATAACAAGACAATGGAATGATGATACAATAACAACTTAGTTTCGTTCTTTAATAATGTTTTAACTTCGAAATGCCATAGCTTTGACTGAAAAGTTACCCCTTCTCATTCTCTCGTGGTGTTTTTCTAATATATTACAATCACAAATACATATCTTCGCTGGTCTGTTTTCAAAGCTTCACTAAATATTTTGAAGAACTATGGGAGTGTTTAAGATCTGTGCGAATATTATTTTGTCATTTAACACGTATTGTTTGCATAGGAATGTGTCTTCAAAATATGTTAGCAAAATATTTGTCAGTCGAAAGTCAATGCTCGAGCTTAGGTGTTGACATGTGCAGCATTTGTCATTCGAAAAATAAAACTATGTATATGATTCAGAGAAGGTACTCTTGAGCATTGTGTTTCTTTTTAAAGTAAAAGACAATTGGCCCCATTGCAGCAAACAACACCGTCAAATGTGGTCCCAGTATATGGAATAAATTGACTATCATTTAAAGAAAAAATTGACTTTTATCTAAAGTTTATGCTGGTTGCATAACTTCGGTGTCCTTGGGGTGGAACTGGGGTTTGTTCTTAATGAAATGATCCCAGAGCTCTGCGACTACTTCAGCTACAACGACATCGCTGGTGTTTCGACCGATCAATTTCAGTATAAATACACCGTCCTGTTTCAAATATTTGGTGTTGAAGGCCTTGGTCATCTTGGTTTCCGAATTGGTGGCGATTTTCTGCATCAGTTTCAGATTTTTTCTGACGAAATGGTTTCTCTCGCGGACGAAGAGCAGACTCATCCAAGTGAAGAAGCCGAAAACGGTGGCGCCTGCAACCAAGACAAGCCAGAACCAGATGAACATGTAAATCTTTTCGTTGAACAAATTGATAGGGAGGGTGCACTGTACAGTGTGTCGATGGATATTGCCGCCGAGTTGACGAACTTTGAAGTCGCAGAGAGTGACTCGCGGGAAGCGGCCGTGAGATGTCCAGTCTCGATTGTTGGCCATGTCGTCGATGACGTCGAAGCCGTAGATATGGTACTGTGTACCCAAGAACGTGTTCAGCAGAAAGAATTGCCCGATGGCGTTCGCCATGTACAGCAGCTTGCAGAACAGAAACAGAAACACCAAGAAGTTTCCGTAGCGTTTGCCGACAAAGAGGCAGCAGTACTTGGCAAGCATCTGTTTGATGGAGGTACAGCAACCCTTCTCGTACTCGCGATTAGAATCGAAATATCTGTCCATGTGTCGCACCAAAAATTTGATCACCTTCTCCCTGTTCTCAGGGTTCAGGTTGTCCACCCCTCCCAGGGCGTTGACAATCATATGGACATCAATACCCGTGCTACCGGACATCAACCTCCATACAATGGTCGGGATGTAAAACAATAGAGACTGCAGCAGTAACATTATGGGCACCCACTGATAGTAGCCGATGTGGGCCCTTGGAAGCTCGGCGCCCGGAATCCGTTCCTCGAACGGCATGTAATACGTGTTGGAAATCCAGCATATATTGTTCGCATAGTCTTCGTGTGCGCCCGTGAAAACGGCGGGTACCCAGCAAACGATTGGGTCGCCGACATATTGTTTTGTGCTCACTAGTACAGTGAAAACCAGCAGAATGATCGACGTGTATCTGTGTGAGAGTCTGTCATAAAAATCGTCATCACACCGAAGGCCCTTCCAGGCCCTCCCTAGAATGTCAATGAAAGGCGCCATTCTGGAAAGAAAAAATAGAAAGTCACATAAGTTATGGTCACCTCACAGATGTGACATTTCTAGAAAATTCATTTTTTCTTTTTTATTTAAAAGACGTGGAGAATGATTACAGTGTAATATTTATTTTTTCTGGTTCAAATGTTTAAAGCATTTAAAGCATTTGAAATAATGTTGTGAAAAGGTAGTGAGTATCCTGTATTGGGAAATGCATGAAAATTCAATTTCTATTTTACGTATCACGGTGACACGACAAAAATAATTAATCCCACTTCAGACCCGACGCTTCAATATGCCAACACGCCAAACCTCACAAATCTATTTCCGATTACATGTGGGCAAACAGTTCCGTTCCGGCTGTCAAGTTTATGTACAAAAAAAAATCTAACTCTATTCTGTCTTAAATTGATTTCATAAACTTTTATAGTAACCTGTGACTTTTCTTGCGTCAACCAAAGGGCAAACTGAGACAGTAACGCCAAGCCTAAGGGTCCACATATTCTCAGACGACAATAGAGATTTGTCGTGTGAGTGCCTGCCTTGACTGAGAAGATGACAAACAGAAAAGGCTTGCTGGCAAAGTAATTGAGACTAGGGACGCACGTTCCGCATGCCTGTACGCATTATTAGGGTTGAATAACAAGCCGTATAGGACGTGGTTTGACTAACAAGATGTATCTGTACGGCCTTTGGAGTTGGATGTTACATCATACTGTTACACATTTCAAGTTAATTACTTCAACTTGGGCATTTAAAATGAAATGTAATGAGAATCCAAATCGATATCCTTATACACTCAAAAACAAAGACAGACAAAAAACCATCCACCGTTTTTCAAAGAGTGGACCCAAGCACCTGTTGCACCATTCTGATTTATAAGGGACGCTATATCACTCTGACATAAATATTCATGCAGACATTATTTGAAAACAAGACCATTTTATTATGCGTGTTACACTCAATGATATTCTCTCGTGACGACGCGGCAGTATGCAAATCATGCGTCTCTTGATTTCTGAACCGGAAAGTCCAGACTTTCCGTGCTTCGGTCCATTATGCTCCCTCTTAAACAATACCCGATCGTTTTACACTGGTACCAGTAGCCGCTACAACACACAGTCCGTCGACATTACGAAACAATGAGTTACCATGGTAGCCCACGAAACAAAGCGATTCTAATGGACATTTCGAGACAATTCAGCAAGTGAGAAAGGGTCATTATCAACAAATGTCAAGTTAATTGTTTTTTAGCACAATTTCAATACAACAACGCTACCCTATCCCCTCTTTTCTTCTTACCTTAACATATTCGCTGGCTGTAAAGCCCGCGGAACACCAGCTATCGTGTGATGATGCATCAAACTCGTGAATTTTGCCCAATTATACGTAATATTATGTCTCTTAGGATAACTTTTTTTGTTGGAAAATTTACCCGGAATAATCGGAATTTTGTCATTGTTTTTATAACTCGGATTGCCTTTCTTATTAGTGCTATCAAGAACATTTTGGCAAGACACCGTTTCACCCTGTGTTTTATATTAACTATGCTTAGTTGGTCGTTTATTTGAGAGAGAAGTAAAGAAGAAAACATGACCACTAGTGATCACCAGGGTAAAATCAGATGAGCTTTCGAGCTTCCAAAACTGTGGTCCAAAGTAAGCACCGTTGCCATCGCAACGAGGTGCTTCTATTTGCTAAGTATACAACAAAACCGAGACATATGGCTTATACTTTGGGGAACAATGCCATGCACTGAAAAAAATGTTTGGGGTATTTTCGCACAGACGCTAGTTTGATGCAGGACGAGTAAACAGTGTATGTAACGCACGTGTAATTTTAAACACATCCAAAATTTCTGAGATTGGAGCAACCAGGCTTTTACGACAGTGATGTTTGTGTAAGGTGGCAAGACACGCTAGACAACAAGTGGTTGAAACTTGAGAAAACAGCTCCACGCGATCTGACCATGTGGGCTTTGCCTTACTTCTTCCGAAATTATACCTCCAGGTGGGATATAATAGATTTCAGTGGATGCTAACTCTCCTGTATATCACCTATCATGAAGTCATTCAAACCTCTTAAGAGCTATTCTTGAAACGAAAATTGCCCTTTTGCCAGTGAACAAACGCTAGGCCCTTTTTTAAGAATCGAACTTTAATCCAGGCGCGCAAATAGTGTCAGAATGGCGAGCTAATATTTCAACTTTACGTAGTTACGCTACTGACTGTGCTGAAATTAAACATCAAGCGACGCTATCTCCAACCATGCTGAACGCGGCGGGCACTTGTGTATCAACACCCCCCTTTCATTACCTGCCAATACTTAATTGGTTTATTTTAATAAAAGTAACTAATCACTCCTGTTTGGACTCAAGAGTGCAACAGACCTTGTTTTTACCTCCTGCTAATTTCATTTGTCATAAAAAATTGCTATGTGTGGGGGGAAAAGAGACAAGGCTATGGTGCGAGAAATAAAGTACAGTAAAAATTTAAACAAATCTGTGCAGGTGGCTTCAAGAGCAGAATACAATGGAGCGCACGACCCTTGTCCCATCTTACCGTCTCAGTTCGCACGAAAAGATTGACTAGGAAAGTAAAGTGAAACCGAATAAACATGGGCGTATTCGTGATTATGACGTCTCGAAGCTATTTACAACAGCTATAACTTGAATGAATAAAAAACATTCATGACAAAATAAGAAAAAAAAACAGGAAGTTCTAAAATACAATTTTTTTTCAAAAATTAAAACAATTACGGAAAAGGCTACCACTTTGAGTAAACTTGTGAAGTAGTTCATGTTTAGTTTATACTCAGTTCAAATCTGTTTTCTTTCCCTGGTGATCATGTGATGTAATACAAAACTAGAAATTTTTCAAGTCGTGTGACAGATTGCCACTAACACTAGGCAATAATTTACTGCAACATTTATCCTGGAGGGGGAATTACTTCGCGGCAGAAGGACCTGTTCCTCTTAAAACTCAACATTCATCAAAAATGAAAAACGAAACAATTTACTGTACTTTTTAACGACAACAGAATAAATATGCAATTTCCTCTATATTAGTTGGGCATTATAACGAGTTCCAATATATAAGTTCATGTAACCACTGAGGGCACCATATATTTCCAAATATTACTATCATAAACATTCTCTTTTGTTATTTCAGATTCATTTCCTTGTGAAAATTTGCTATTTAAATAATAGCTGTAGGTGACAGCGCAAGCCTTGTTATGGGCCTTTTTTGTGTATGTGTGCGTGTTTGGTAAAAACAAGTACATTCAATCTTATGAACTACCCTAAACCAGGGGCCTTTGAAGTTTTCCTTTGGTCTTTCTATTAATAGTACGAAAGAAATATCAATTTTTGGCCAGCAGTGGGTGGAAGGGAAATATCACTTATGTTAGTCTGCACTGGAGACTATACAGCTACACACAGCCAGTATATATTAATAAACAGGACTTCATAAAGTCAGGAATTTTACCATCAGTCTGTTGAGCTAATCACCGCACCAAGACTCACGGCTAAGTTTATCTCCTTCACGCGGGGTTAGATCAACGCACAGAGTTCCTTTGTTCTCCTTCCAGGTGTTAATTGCTTAGCTTATTAACTTTGGTTATGTAATATTATATGTACTCTCTTCCAGTGTTGACTCAGTTAATTCTGGCACTATTTCTCTCATAAGGATAACTAACGCTAAGCCAGCCTAAAGCGTCCCGCATATGGCGAGGTGACACTTTGATGACCCAACTGCGCCATATTGAAGTTATCTTTAATAAAGTGTCTCATCACGAGACTATATTAGAAGTAATGGTGCGGTAGAGTCATCGTTTGATTTGATCGAAATAAAAACATTACTCAGGGAACTCGAGGCAGAGAGGAAACTTCCTACTGAGTTATCAACAAATTCGCTGTGTTTAGGCCTTTCAACAGATGCCAGAAATCTAAGATGATACACGTACCATGATACAGCATGAAGCCCACTACACTCTCAGTATAATATTTAGGTCATCTCTCTGCTGGAAAAAAGTTTTACCCCAAAACGATATTAATCCCTCAGACTCGCTGAACTAGGCCGTTTGAATCAAGTTCTGTAGTTGTAATTAATCTGTGATATTTCAAATATACCTCCACGAAACTTCGATTGATTATGTATTGGCTTGAATAAACAATGGGACTGATAATGCGTTGGATCGTGGGAAAGCGGGATAGCGAAATATACGACCTATTACGACAAACTTTAAATGTGACGAAACTTCACTAGTCTTATACTAAGATTTTACGTGAAATTTTCTTACCTTCAATGGCCTATTCTGTATCTTGTATCTCTCTTCGGTGTTGATATGGAATGTTCCTAGTTACTTCTTTACGTTTGGTTCCGTGTCCCATCCACTCTCTCTCCTTCAGTCACTGTCTCCAGATTACGCAGCTATTGGGAGGGAGGAGCTAATGCTTGTCATCTGAAAGAATGATAAGACTTTACCGGAAGTTGACTACGCAGAGGACACTAGAGGGAAGATCGCGGCTGACGAAATATGGAAATAGCAGAGAGGACGACGTTGCTTTGTCACTTAACGGACCAGCTTATTCCAGCATAAAGGGGGCGCCAGGATGGAGTGATTGAGTGGCTCACCCAGCTGTTACAAATTATCTTCCCGATTGACTACAAGACTGAGTTGCTTAAACATATGTGCGGGACGTTACGAAATTCTCTATGAATGAAACATCATGGCCTACGAAGCGTATCACGTTTTCGTGTGCATTTGTAGCGTGTGAGGAGAACCCCCATGTACGGTGACTTTGGAAATCCGCCAGTCCTGCCATAAATTACTTCTCCAGTGCTCACGCTCAGTATGCATTACAAATGTCGCGTATGCTGCCAACCTGCGCCGGCAGGTCACTCCCCATTCTCATTGCATGTGGCAACAATTTCCAGTGAATTTGTTAAAATCCTTTTCTCTCACTTTACCGCGAAACAGGATTAAGCTTGAGCGACACGCATACAGTTAGTTCACTTGTATTTTAAAACCCCAGTTCAGAGTCCACCGCACGTTAATTTCATTTATTTCGCGTCCACGAATGCGACCCAGGAGTGGTCGTTTAATGTAGTTTAAATTTAGGTTTCTATCACCCGCCATACCTAACAGCAGTGTTACCGAGGTCAACTTTATAGCGACTAGACTGTTTTCACAACGCGCCGATACAGAATGCGGTTTACTGTTGGGGCCAAAAAAACAGACACTCAACGAAAAACACATCGTCCTTACCGCAAGAATCGCGACTTCCACAGCGTCCCCATAGCGTTTCACTTTACACTGGTAACCAGCTTCAGCTCAAAAACACAACTGGCATCTTTTACTCCCTATCTCTATGTCCAAGCAACACAAAATCGAAACGATTTAACTGAATACAGGTGAAGTCTTTGCCACAATAAAAAGGTCCCCGTAATTTATCCCATAAGTGATTAAGTTCTCACAGTACTGTTTGGGTGACCCGATCAACGCGGAGATTATTAGCTTGGGCCATCATTACTGTAATTCATCCACTTTCAATTCTCAATTTTGTTTCAAAACATTTTATCGGCTGTAATAATGGAGGGGTATATTAGTATTTAACAATGTTATACGGACAGGAAAAATATTATTCAAAGTGACAAAAGGCTATAATACTTGCGCACGGGACACTGCCTTTGAGAGGTTAAGTTTGTTTATACAGGTAATCTTACACACACAAATACGCTTTTAGTGGTTACAACTTTTCTATGTCCTTCTTAGATATTAGTCACTGTTGACACACAGGGGAGTAAAATTTCACAATGCTTCCCAAGTAGTTTTTTAATAAATAGCTGGATACGACGTCATTTTTAGGCCACGCCCTCGGAACCGACAGGTATATTACGGCCAAATATGGTAATAGGACGTCCCATTTCGGATAAATCACTACTTGCGTCATCCAAATAGAGGCATTATTTGAATATGGAATGAATAATCCCATTAGTTTTTTTAACCGCCTACTTATCGGACTACGACCGTCAAATGTTATTTTTAAAGATACATGTTTTTCAATTCTTATAGCGTTTTTCTAATTATTTCTTTCTCGTTCAATTTTGACAGACAGGAGTTTGGGGGGGGGGGGGGAGCGACCTAACTTTAAGTGCCGGTTAATAAAGTCATAGGTACAGGGCAAGACAGTTAATTAACTTTTAAAAAAGCTGATGAAACTACAATGACGGGTCAATCAAACGATCCCGTGCCAATTGATCAACATTTACCAGGCTGCCGGAGGACATGAAGGGGAACACCCTGGCGGACTAAACTGTTTTCTCAGTAAACATAGGATTACCCTTGCCAAAATTGAATCAATTATTTGGTTTCATGTTCGCAAACCGGTCGCGTACGATCACCAGTCATTTATACACAAGTGATCTTGTAAACAGACACGGTGTCAACCCACCTTTATAATCTCAGCTACCGGTTTCCAAGAAATCTGTCACTTTTTTATATAAAAAAGGGATACAAAGAAAGAGAAAGAGAAATAAGAAAGAAAGAACAAAAAAAAAAAAAAAGGAAAACGTGGTAGAGTCATTAACACGAAGTTTTCACCACGTACGTACAGGAGACTTCCCGCTGGGAAGGCCTCATTTGCTGCTGGTCCCTAAAAAATTAAATTTCGTCAAGCCTGTTGAAAAAAGAAAAAAAAACTCGTGGAAAAGTTATCAACGCTTCGAGTTTTCGATAAATGTGAACAGGAAGCTTTTCCATCTATTTCAACGATTACGTGACACAGACGGCCATTTTTCCCTACGTTACTCATGCGCATTTTAACCCGTTTATCAGCAATTTAGTCCCTTTTACGTCTTGTTATAATCCCCCTCCGGAATCCCACCCAAGTGATATGCTTGATTAAATACATGTGATCTTGCAAACAAATATGATGTCACCATTCTTTTCTCACCTACCGGTTTCCAAAAATTCTATTTTTGCCCTCATGGAAAAGAATTTTAAAAAGGAAAGAGAAAGAGAAAATAGAAAGAAATAAAAAATAAGTGGTAGATGTATTAACACTAAGTTTTCAACACGTATGTACAGGGCACCGCCCGCTGGGAAGGTCTCATTTGCTGCTGGTCCCTAGAAATCCAATTTCGTCAAGCCTGTTGAAAAGAAACTGATGGAAAATTTATCAACGCTTCGAGTTTTCGATGTGATCGGGACACTTTTCCCACCTACTTCAATGATTCAACAGACGACCCATTTTACCCTCCGTTAGACATGTATTTTAACATGTTAATCAGCAACTAACTAAAAGAGTCCCTCTTACGTCTTGCTATATCCCCCCCCCCCCCCCCAACCCCACCCAAGTGATATGCTTTGAGAAAGGTATAACACACAGCGATGGGGGTTTTAGGTACTTGACAGGTTCCTTTGCTCTTTTGTCAGAAAAATCTATTGCACCTTGGCGTTATTGCCAAAACCACTGGCGGACTGACATTTAATACAATTAACTGCGTTTACCAGCTGACATTTGCCGTTATTTAATTATATTTTCATTGAATACCCTACCTCCAGTATCAGGAAATTCGGTGAATTTCACCAGCCCGATACGCAGTCACAGTTTATAATGGAGGTTTTCTTGGGTATTAGACCAAAGGCCATTGGCTACCTCTCCCAGAGGATAAGCGGTCTATTAGCTTACCCCTCCTGTCTCCCAAACTTTAAGTTTCAAGAGGACGGGAGAGGCATTTTTCTTTTCACTGCTCTGAGATCTAAGCTACTGGGGAACGCCAAGTAGCTTCTTGAAAGATGGAGACGTTTGCTGCGTCCCAGTTTTGAACCAGAGAGACCTTTATCGAATTTGCGTAATAAGTGTTAAGTAATAAAAACTACTTTATCACAAAGCAGTTAACTTGTATATAATGGATATTAGTTGCGACAATTAAGTACAGGAGGTGAAAGAGGTGACAAAAAAGTTCTTGAATGTCCTCGATTTTAAAATGATGATCAGTTTCTACACAGGATACGTATTATAAAACGTAACGTTATCATCCACTAGTCATTTCCCTTGTCCTTAAAATCCGCGTAACATTATGCCACAACAATGCGGATATTATTATTCTTGCAAGCATCCGCAAACTTAAGGATCGATACTTTTTGAAAGGCATTCTGGTAATACTTATACACATGGTAATACTTATACACATTATAGGAAAAAGGCAGGAAAAAGGGGTGACATGTACCAATGACAAGAGGGTGCTGCTTATTTTTTAATGCTATTGATATTACATTTAACAGGTGGGAAAGAGAGCATTCAAAATAATGTACCCCGAAATGATGAAGCTATACAAGCCTCAAACTATAACGCTCTAATGTAAATGTGGAGCTCTCTGGAAGAACTGTTAAACGGTATTCTCCATCAGAGGCCTGTTAGCTGTTTACTGATATGAATAAAGGGACTTCTGCAGATATTGTAACTGCTACAACAACTCGTAGAGGGTTGCCCCATGGCACGATCTCTGAATAACATCGGATCCCTTTTTACTGTCCAAAGCAAATTTTTAAAAATGACTCCTTACGTGGAGTAAAGAACTGTCCGTTTTTTCAAAAATCTTTATTCCTCTGACGTTGCAAATCTTCAAAGTTTAAATAAATTTTGTCAGTGCTAGACGATCCTAAAACTAAAGGTACCATTTGTATGTCCCTCATATGCCAGAATGTACCTGCATTTATAACGCCTGATTACTCAATACTTTTTTCATTTGAACCTTTAAAATATTCATCTATAATTTAAATAGCAAATATCTCGTTCTTTTTCCTTCAAACAGCCTCTTATTTTACTGCACAGCTGCCAACACGTGCAAGAAATTACTATGTGCACATCCACACGTACATGTATCAAGCCCCATTTCTGTCTTTTTGAAAACCGGGTGTCTCCAAAAATACCAATCTTTATCGTTATCTACGTTGCACTATGTTGATTTCGTTCAAATTCTTTCAGACTTTCACTACTCTTCTTATGTCTATTTTTTAATTTGTTTGTCGACATAAAAGACAATTTAATGGAAAATTCTAAATTATGGTCATAAATAAATAAAAATGCAAATTAAAAAAAAAAACAGGTTACTTGTACACATTACCACTTCACCGAAATAAAGCGTGAATGATACGTGAAATGGCAATTGTCAAACGAAATCTGCAGACAAGCAAAAGAAAAAAAAACCTGGTTACATCAGAAATGGTGCAGTTTAATTACCCCATAATAATACACATTTGCTATCTGATCTATAGCACCAGACATGGGAATTTTGCAATTTGAAAAAAATATGCAAAAAAGAGAAAGGCACAGATGAAATAACGGAGGCAAAAAATAAACTCCCGTGTTTAAAGTTCGTCACAATCTGTTAAAAACATTTCCCCCTAAGCGAAAAAAGTGAACGCAGGGTTCAAAATTCCCCAAGCCGATAATCTTCCTCATCATTTCACAGACTAATTGTTTGGACGGGTGATTTCTAATTATATAGGAGGACTTCTACAGTACTGTAGGTGACAGCTGAGATTGGAGCAGGAGGAAAACACATCGT